GGGGGGGGGGGGGAAGAAAGAAAAAGAAAAACGATGTTTTGCACAGATTCCCATTTCCAATCTCATCAGCAGAGGAAGGTAGCGCCGTGATAGGGGACGCTGTCCCAACCCTCGTCGATAGGTCTTCCATGACTCCCCTCACCCTGTCATGTCAAGTGGGAGGGTCAGTCAGTATCTGTCCGAGAACCCTGTCAACCTGTCCTGGAACGCATGTCTGTCACTCATGTGGAAGTTTGAGCAAGCGCAGTCTCGTGTAGAGATGTTTAAAGGGACGGCTTGTCAATTTCGCATAAGGAAGGATGCTACCCGAGAAGTTGACAGGTCATCCTGACTCAGATCGGATCTTTCCTCTTCCTTCGCTAGACTACAAACAGTGCAAGCGCTCCGGATCTCGCTCCTTCCCTTGGAGGGGGTTTCTGCTTGCATGATCTTGGCTAGTGGGAAGGAGCATGTCATGGGATCCTTGAGATAAGGGGAGGAGGGAGGAACGAGGAAGCTTTGTTTCCATTGTTCCATCAACCGGTCAAGCATCATGTACGCTCCATACCATACCGGTATTGACCGAAACCTTGCCTGTTGTGTTCAAGACTGGAATGGATGGATCTCTTTGGCTGCATCGGTTGACGGCCTGAGCATGCTGCTGGCGCAAACAACAAGTGAGTGGTGATGTGTGAGTGTCTTTCGTGGGGGACAGGCGATCCGCGACTGATGTACCGCAGGTCACGTTCACACTTTGGCACATCACCAACCTGTAGGCCCGTGATCATCATTGTCGTGTTGCCATGGTGTCGCTGTTGCCTAGCTGGCTGCCAAGTACGTGCAGCAATTCTGAGGATAGGCGCATAATTCTTTGACACACCGAGTGGGTGAGGCAAACGCAGTTGAACGAGGATGGGTAGAATTATCCTTGATGGTCTTCCTGTCCGGTTCATGATGGTACAGAGTGCATGTGGCAGAGTCCGACTAGTCGACGATGGCCAAAGGTCTTCTTGACTCAGCAACATCGAACGGGGATCTACAAGTGACCCTTTCATTTTCCTCTCTGTCGATCCTGTAGTTGCGAACAACCATGCTCCCATGTATTCACACGCATCCTAGACACACTGACATGAAGAAACAAGAAATCTTCAACGCAATGAGTGCGAATCACGCAGTCCTAACAGGGTGGGCTTTGGATGTTGATTGCAAAACGCTGTCTGGCTGGTTATTGATATCTGGTGATCCTGGTCCACAACCATTAACTCCATTCCACCTGACCCCATCTACCAAAGGCCATTAAGAATGTGAACAAAGAAGTACATCTGCGAACGACTACATCACAACACACCCCTCCACTCTCCCTCTCTCTTTCTTCCAGAACAGTCTTGATCAGCACCTCCTTCAGAGCTCACACCTCATGCACGAACAGGTACACCACCTACTGCACCTCCCATGATTGTAGAACATTATCCACTGAAGATAACCGGGCAGTAACACTATATGTAGCTACCAGTCTACCAAGACGACAGTACCCATGCAGTGTAAGTTGACAAGTCATGGGAGAGTTAATAAACAAAGATGACACCAGGAAAGCGGACCTGGTTGTCCTGCTGTTCGCTGTAGTTACATGGCTACACCTTTACCACCTGCTTGATTATGACTGATTGTCTGCTTGAAAGACAAATCTGAAGATTCGAAACAATGATCCCCATCCACGTTGAGTAACTAGTAGTGTCTCCCAAGCCAGAAGTGGGTATAGGTGTAGGGAGGTATATCTACACATAAACTGTGACCGACCTATCGCGGAAACTTACAGTGGCCATAGGTCGAATGAAATTTGGCGTGATATAGACCAAGACAAGCGCGGGTAAAATACCCGCTGTGCGTTACGTAGGCAGTTAAAGCAGCATTCATCGAAACTTCGTAATGGGTAGTAGGAACATGCTGAAGAATCCTAGAAGTCGTCCAGTAGCTATGGAACCGTTAGCAACGCTGGCGATCTGGCCGGATGTTGAGAAAAACAAAAAATCCACTTCATGCCCTCTTGGACATTGCAATATGCATTGAGAGCAGTGGACGAAAGGCTGAGACCAAGCCTGTCATAGAGGCGGAAGGAATTATACTGAGCTGAATGTGTAGGATGAATGCATAGAATAGTAACAACACTTGAAGACGGCTGACATGAACTGAACCAACACATTTGACTACAAACGGCACCCAACAAAAATATCTTTCAGCACACAAACAGAAAGAAAAACGTTCTTTCGCCTCCATCATCCGCCGCCCCTTAACCTTTCCCACAAAAGCAACTGAGTCCTCTTCTTCATCTTTTTCGCATCTCTCCTCTCACCCTCAGTAGCCGTCTCACCAGCTCCTCCATAGCTACCCACCACACTGTCATCCTGCCACTCCGGCGGTATCGGCGACACCGTCCCACTAGCCATTTCCATGCCGCCACCAAATCCTTGCCAACTTTCAGAAACCGGATCGACCACCCCATCAGAGTAGTTATTGTAGTCATCCGTCAAACCTCCTTGGTCATAGGAGCCAGCCTTTTCTGGGGCGTATGCGTGTGATGTAGAGCCGAGTCCCCTATCACCAGCAAACTGAGAATGACTGGAAGAATTCATAGCGAAGGCTGGGTCTTGACTCATCAGACCCAAGCTCAAGCCACTTGCTTCACGCATTTTTTGCAGACCACTGACCAAGGGCTCCACCAGTTGTGCTTTGTCGTACATTGGGAATTGGCCGCCGCTAGAAGCTTGTACCGACATGTCTGCGGTTGGGCTGAATGGCGGAGGAGGTGGTGATTGAGGAGGGGAAACAGACCCTTCACCGATTTCGTCGCTTTGAATAGTAGTTGGTGGGCCCCCTCCATGTCGGCTGTAAAGTGACTCGCCCTCACCACCAGCACGCCCTTCACATTGGCCTCGAATGGCCACTACCTTCCTCCACAGCGCCGGAAATCTCGCCTCCAGTTCCCTCTCTAGCTCTATCTGTCTCTGATCCACGGCCCGGGCCCTCTCCTCTCTCTTAGCCGGGCCCAGCTCGGTGATCCGCCTGCCTCCAAGCCCTTCGCCACTTTCGTCAAACTCCTTAAGCCACCGCTCATACTCCCTATCTCTCCTCTGTCTCTGTTCTTCTTCCTCAGTTGCATCGTTGTAATATGATGTCTCGCTCTCAAGCAACTTCCCCGAACTGAATTCGGCAGTATTCTTCCCTTTGCCGGTGATCCACTTGTCAAAACTATCAGCAAACTCCCTATAGTGGCCCTTCAAGATAAAACACTGGCCCTTCCAGCCATTTCCGCGGAATTTGGTCAGCAGTGCGTTGGCAATGGGGCATTCCCAGTCAAATTCTATGCGGCGGTCATACAGCACTACACAGCGGGACTGATACCAGCTGTTGAAGGAGTGGCGAGATGAGACGTCGGTGAAGGTGTCTTCGATCATCTCGAGGGAGGCATGCTGAATGAAGGAGACGGGGCAGCGGAGGTTTATGGCGGAGGAGATGTGAGACTTTTCAAAGTCGGTGGAGGAGCGGAGATCGAGTAAAAGGACAGCGCCTCGGTGGGGGTAGATGGTGAGAATTGTGTTGAGGTGGCCTGGAAGGATCATGCGAGCACTGCCTTCTTTGGTGGCAGGAGTCTGGTCTGCTGAGCTGCGGTAATGAAGACCCTGGAGGTTGAGGGTTGTTTGCTCATGCTGCCGGCGCTGGTCAAACCAGACCTTTGAACCTCATCAGTAGGCAAAACATAAACATTTGGGCGCATAAGAACGTACTTTGATTTTATTTGGATGCACATCGAGAGTGAAAGCAAGAACGTCGATGATTGTTTCACTCGGCTGCGGGTCCTTCCGAAAACAGTCCTCCAAGTGAGCAATCGCCTCTCGAGTCAAGTCTCGGGCCTGATCTGTAGGGTCGCTAACTTGCTCCGGTGGCCAAACTGGTGTGCTTGCTACATTATCGGTGGCCATTGTCAACGAGACAGCACTAAAGGATGCGGTCGACAAGTCCGGTGGACTAGCCAGAGCAGGGTCAGGCGATGGTGACCCGACAGACCCCGTCAGCTGTTCCCCCATATAACCAAGCACCTTTGGCCGAGAGGGTGGTTCCTGGCTGGGTTGTGGCGTTTCGCGTGTTACAAAATTTGCAGATTGTCCGTACGTACCTGCTTGAACATCAGTCCGATGGGTGTCTCCAGGGTAATTGGTAGCCATCTCGGACATCAATGACTCCGTATCAGCATCCATCGCCTGATGCTCATCTTCTTCGTTCCTGGCAGTCACATCGTTTTCGTGCGGCGATTTTGTTGTGCCCAGTTCACGGCACAGATTGTTGGACCTGATGAACGCTATGAAGGAACACGCTGGGTCATCCGGAAGAAGATCCCAAATCATGACAGGCAACGAAAGTAGTAGCAATGTTGAATGGCTTTTGAAGACTCCTTGGACTTTGACGTACTTGGCGATGGCTGGGAAGCTGGCTAACCACTGCTCCCAAGCACTGAAGTCCAATCGCTGGTCACCTTCAAGGGCTAAAGAGAGCATGACATGAGGCTCGTCTTCGTTTGGCTCACCAATCATCGGAGCAGACATGCCAGGGAGATATGGATATGTTGATCGTGGTGACAACGGCCAGTCGTCTTGTCGTGGACTGGTAACGACATGCTGCTGCTGATACGGTGATAGTGAGCGTCTGGAATCCGGAACAAGTCGGCCAATCTCTATGCTCGGTGCTTTGTGGTTGGACGTCATCATGAAATGCACAGGCGTTGACCTGGATTCAAAGTGTTTGCCGTTGATCAGAACTGGTCTGGGATGTTTCAGACGTGCGAGAATCTCGGCATGTAACATTGCAGCCGAGAAGGTTCTGTGCCGCCATTCCTGAAGGACTTCAATCAAGGCATTGGTGAAAGAGTATCGGCCTGGGTTAGGGGCAATAGCATCCCAAGTTGATGCTGAAATGGTTTCAGTTATGCTTTGGCCACTTGAGAAGGTGGCACTAGCTGCCCCTGCGCAGCAGTCAAGAAGAATCAAGACATCAGAGGGGGATCTTTCGAGGAGTGTCTGAATTGCGGACCACCTATTGCATGAATAATGAATTAGCTCGCCCGAAAGATGGTAGTGGGTGGCACAACAGGACTCACTGTAGCCATGGGGAGTTCGGATTCCGTGTCCTGGTGGAAAAGAGTAAGCATCAAAAACCCATTCAGATGGCGGGCTGGATATAGAGAGCACCTACGCACACCACGTACTCTGGCGCGAATCGTCAATCCGGGCATGACCTCCGTAGTAGACAATGAAGAGGGTCTTCTTGTCCTCATGTTGTTTAATCATGTCGCCAATCTTGAGCATTAGTTCGAGATGGGAGTTCTCGGTTGGGATGGCGAAGATATCGGTGCCGTAACGGTAATCTTCTCGAAAACATTTTTCCAGATCCTCCAGCTCGGGCAACACGAACAAGTCGTCACAGGCCCAATGTAGAAATAGAGCTTGGACTTTAGTGTACCTTTGCTGTGAAGATGAGGTGGTGGGAAATGCCCGATTGGCCGACTACCACAACGGGCAAAAATCAGTTTGAGGTCGGGGGCATGTCGATACGTAGTGCTATGACATACCTCTTCGAGGGCTTGAGCAAAGGTTTCAAGATGCCTGACATGGTAGCTAACACGACTAACGTCGTGAGTTGCCGGGTTACATGATTCGCTGGCTGACCCGTACTGAATATGTTAGGTAGATTTCTTTTGTGTGAAGCGACGGGAGGTCTCCTGTAACAGTCCAACCAAAGAAATGAGCGTCGACATACGGCCGAATCCGAATAACTCATAAAGTCATGTTCACTATGATGCGGCTGCCGGGTGTGGATAGGGATGAATGCTGGAGTCGAAGAATCCATCTCTCTGTATCTGGGGGTTGAGAGGGTTGGACTGTGCTCGTAATCTGCTGCTTTTCTTAGGTGACATTGGACTCAACGTATCCGCTTGGAGGCCACAAAGTGAACACGATAGAATGTGGCCAAGAAGGGGCCCTTTTTGAATTTCCTGTTGGATGCGGCTGTGTTTAGGTCTGAGGGAGGACAGAACTGGCAGCCACTTGAATGGAGGCTGGGGCCATGCTCGTCCAGGACAAAATAACGTGGACTGCAGCTGAACCAGACCACCCAAGCCATGATAGGTATCGCCGTGAATACCAAACGGTATTATCTATGCCTCTTATTGCTTTCATTCCTTCCATTCGTCCTTATGGGTGTCGTCTGCTCTAGACCAGTCCCCGTTCATTTGTCCTTTGCGAGCCACGGTCACCCATTTGGGTATAGCCCATGATCTTGACGCAGCGGGGCTTTATCACGCTGACCCACTATTGAGTTGATCAATCAGAGCCCGGCATCCCGTCTGCATGCTTCCCAAAAGGGTTCGCTTCACGAAGAAGCATAGACCAGGTTCTTCCAAGTGGGCGACGGCGGGGAGCGAGACGTGGACAGTGGAACTGGAGCTGTTGACAGCTGTTGATGGCCCGTTATCGTCACTTCAGCTCATCAATAACAACACCAACTAAGGTACTCTCGCAATATCAACACCGCCACCCAGACACAGTTGTTACATCCACATCTTGATAATCTGATTTCCCATCTCATCTACCTCTAATCATCAAGCCTCAATCAGTCTAATCATTTTCACGCAGTGTTGGTCCGTCATGAGAGAGCGCATCACCTTCATCCAGAAGCAAGGCGACTCAATCGAGCCAACAACGCTCAAGATCAAGGGCGGTGTCCTCAACGGCCCAGAGATCCAGGCTGCTCGTGAAGACAGACTCACCATTGCAATCGATGAGCTACCGAAAGGCCTACAAGCGCTCTTGGGCACAGCCCATGAGCTTCACATCAGATATGTCAGCTCTGAGCCATATGAGGCAATCACCCCTTTGCTAGCTAGGCTGCCGCCTGGCTTCCATCTGTTCTACACCCCGGCAGGGCAAGCCGATGCCACTTCCCCAGCGCTCTGCCTTGCCCTCAATCAAATTTTCGGGAATGTTCAGTGCGAAAACCCAGAGGTGGGTTGATTTTTTCTTCCTCACCTGTACCATGGTGTGTGTGTTAACCGTCTTCACATAGAAGTCATTCACGACTCTGCCAAGGGATCGTTTCTCTCACTCAGCTGCCTACCAGTTCTACCAACCATCGGTAGACCTTTCCCCATTCATTGCACTCGCCAAAGAGAAGCTATGTTCATCTTCCAAGGACCAATCTTGCGCTGCCAGGGCCGACCGCTTGACAAACGCCAGCTCTCTGGACATCTCATATGATGCCATCTCTCACGCCGTTAAGCTCACTGCAACATGGCCCTACCAGAAGCAAGAGGTCCACGCGACATCCCGGCCACAGACACGGACCGAGGTTGGAGTCTTGAACTCGGACCGGCCAGGACACCTCGAGCCTCATGAGCTGGGAATTTCCGGTCTTCTCACCGTGCTGGGACAGGATAAAAAGCCGTCTGCGACAATGTTTGCCTTTGCCTCTCGACATCGTGATGCCGAGTCTAGCTTCTCCGCCGAGTTTCTGGAGCCAACAGGTCTTCACCCTACCCTCAAACTCAGGCTTGAGTCCAGCAAGCCACCTATTGAAGATGCCTACTGCTCACCACACGCCTACTTCACCCTTCCCAAGACCATCTTCGCCGATAGGCACCAACTATCGGATGACCTCTTTCTGGCCTCGAAGAATCTCACCGGTCTACGCTACATTTCTCAGCCCGTAGACCTCGAAGCTCCTGAATATGTTGAGAAGCGCTGGGGGTCTTCGCTTCTTCTGGAACTTTCCCCTCCCGAACATGAAGAATCAAAGTCTTGGACAGCACAAGTCCCCTTGCACCTGCGCTACCTATCTCCCGCTGAAGGCGGCTATACCGATATTCAAGTTCCATACCCGGCTGTTTTCTGGGCTTGCGCGGCTGAGGAAGGTACCAAGTTCCCTAACAATCCGTTCGAGAAGGCCAACCTTGGCTACGACGGCCTTTTCGGCCCTAGGACGGTATTCTGGCATGTCGAGCCTCGCCCGACAATCGGCAGTCGTTTGAGCAACATGATGAAGGTGCCAGTCCTGGACACAAACAAGGCGGAGTGGGTAAGCGGCGGCACCGGGCTAGCGGTACTCCTTGGCTTTGCCTGGATCATGTGGAAGTTGTTCGGCGTGCTTTCAAAGTCTGGATACCAAAACCAACCCTCGCAAGCTGCGGAGGTTGTCAAGGCCAAGAAGAATCAGTAATGGTCGAGGGAGTGGGATGAGGCGAATGGGCAAAGTGTACCTGGAGACATATGTAATATCCAAACTATCAAACGTAAGTCACGCCAGCAAATTCGAGGCTGACTGCAGCCTTTGTACACCTCATTATTTTTGATTGATCGATATCTGGCGCTTCACAGAATGATGCCTGGGTGGACAGCTCGGTGGCATGTAAGCCGAGTGGCTTGTTTCACGGTTTCTTTGCGTCTCCTATCTGCCTTCAGTTTTAGGTATCTTCGCTTCTTCCTTCGCTTCATGGCAAGACAGTTCCTTTCCAGGTCTTCAGCACCACCGCCATTCTGCACAACAACTAGACCCAATGTTACTGGTGCACTTCTTCCTTCTTTCATTCGTGACTGTTCTTTTGTCGGAGTATCAGATCAATCATGGACTTTCTTTGGAAAAGTACTCAGCTTGCACCGCAGAGGTGGTACTGCACACTTTGGCTTCTTTGTCAACACTGACCAACACCCAACCATACACAAAAGGCAACACGCCCCCACGCTGAATGAAGCCCTCTGCAGCCGAGGAGGACAGAACAGGGATCGTGTTGGAGAAGTATTTCTTCCCCACATTTAGCTACTCTTTTAGAGCTTCCAAGGCTAGCGACCCAATGACGTCGTCTCCCTCTGTTCTCAGGATGCAGGTCTACACCACACTACCCTTCGCCAGTGCATGTTAAATCTCTTTCCCACCCAAGTGGCTCAAGTCAGCTGTGGAATGTCAGAATAAGTCTTGTCGTGCGAATATGGAAACCAAGTCCGCGGATAACTGGAGACTTCTCACCTATTCTTGCCCAATCAGCTGAGAGTCGTACAAATCTCGCCTCGCCTGCCTCTGGCTTCCTGTTCAAATGGCAGGAGTACACCCCGCAAAAGGCCCTTGAATACTCCAATCTTTCCATGTAGCGAACCAAGCTGGGAAAAGATCATCCAGGGGACCTGCAGCGTACTCTTCCGATGTCGACGTTGTCTCTTCGTTCTGGGAAGTAGTTGTGTCTGATCATTCGGTGCCGAACATCCAGGTCCGGAACGTCAGTTGGTACAAGTACCGGGCTCTTCCTCCCCGGTCTCCTCATTGTTTCCTCGTAATTTCAAACCAACTCGACCGTATCTTCTCGCTTCCAAGCAGCCGAAAAGCTTACGGAATCTTACCAAAGTCCTCTCTTGGTTCCAAGTGCAGTCCAGTCACTACTCGCATCTCAAGAGCATTAAAGATGAGCAGCAGTCCGGATCGCAGACCCATCTTCGTGGCAACCCATCCTCGGGCTTGCTCCACGGCCTTCGAACGGGTATGTTCCGTCAATTCGAAGAAGAGAAGAAGAAGAAGACCATAGACAAAAGTCTAATCAAATGTCAACTACATAGGTGTTTATGACCCGCCCAGACGCCCTGAGTTGTGTGCACGAACCCTTTGGTGATGCCTTCTACTATGGCCCCGAACGCATGAGCACGCGCTACGACCATGACGAGGCCGCAAGAGAGAAGAGCGGGTATGCGGGAGTCAGGTACGACGATGTCATGGGCAGAATCTTGAAGGAGATGTTGGAGAACGACGTAAGTGTGCACCGAACCCTGTATCTCGTTTTGTCTCTCCTCACGGGACATCATCTGCCGGCGACATTATATATATATAGTCTAACTCCGATTCAACTTCTTAGAAGACCCGTGTCTTTATCAAAGACATGGCCTACTACATCGTGCCTCCCAGCGGCGACCGTCCTTTAGGCCCGGCGCGCTCGCTCGATCGCCACCCCAACCCGGTAGCGGACAGCAACCCAACTATCATTCCCACCTCCCTTCTTATGCTCTTCCACTGGACATTCCTGATTCGCCACCCACGAAAGGCCATCCCGAGCTACTACCGCTGCACCATTCCACCGTTGAACAAAAAGACGGGATTTGACGAGTTCATGCCCAGCGAGGCAGGCTACGTCGAGCTCCGCAGGCTCTTCGAATTCTTGCATGCCAACGGAATCATTGCCGAGGAAAGCAAGTACGATTCCGAGGAGACGCGTAAGTCGAGGGGCACGATGTTTGGACAGATGAACGAAGACAGTGTGTCGGCATGGAGCGGTCCCGGTAGAGACGAACGACTGGAGCAAGGCCCCGCACTCAGCAGGCAGCTGGAAAACATACCAGGTCCCGTGAAGATCACGGTCGTTGACGCAGATGACCTGCTCGACGACCCGGAGGGCACGCTAAGAGCTTACTGTGAGGCCATCGGCGTGGACTTTGACCCCAAGATGCTCAAGTGGGATGACGATGAGAGCCAGAGGACAGCTAAAGAGGCGTTTGAGAAGTGGAACGGGTTTCATGATGATGCGATTGGGAGTACCGAGCTGACACCGCGGTCGCATAAGGCTGTAAGTCTTTTGTTTATTATATCTTGTTTTCGAATCACCCTGGATGCTGTGCGGACGTTTTGATGAAGATGAAGCTAACTTCATATAACGGAACAGAAGACATCGACTAGAGAGGAAGAGGACAAGGAATGGAAGGAAAAATACGGGGAGGAGGGACAGAAGATAATCAGGGAGACGGTCGACAAGAATGTGGCCGAATATGAGTATCTCAAGAAGTTCGCTTTGAAGCCGAAAAAGATGGAGTAGGAGAACGAAACGGTTGTATGATAAGACCCAAGTTTTGGGTCTTGTTCAGGTCATGCTGGAGTTGTTATCATCAACATTGAGGGCCCCAACATCAATATTGGCAGAAGCAATGAATATCCGAGGGATCGCTTGCAAACATTTGGTTTTTGTATCGAGAGCATCAAAATATAGAGGGAACGGCATTATAGAAGGGTGTCTCATCAATTCAATGTGTACTGTGCAAAGAGCAACGGGACGACACAGGAGAGATTTCTGTGGCAGTTTAGCCACATCGCTGAGTTTAAGTCTACTCCACACATATGTCAGGAGGACTGCGGCAATGCATAAAATAGTCATTTTTACAGAGAACTATGAATACAAACACGGGTCAGCGAGGTCAATCGACCGACCTGTTTTTACCTTAAAAAAATACCTCCCCACACATGTGTTGATACAGGACAATTGTACACCCAGAGTATGATGGTTTATGGCCTAGAAGGGTGGCATGGACTGTCTTAAGAGAACTTTCCATTTCCGGGTTGGTTGTCCTCACTCACATACCTACCCCGCTGTCTGCGGCGCTCAACCTTCACATCTCCTTCTTCCGACCGGAGAGCACCTCGACAAGGCTGCACTCCTCCTTCTTCCACCCCACCTAACCCCTTCCATGACTGATCATGACCCCTTACTCGCTGCTCATCCTAATAGGCATCCTCTTCTTCTCGGCCTCGCCAGGGATACCAACCTCATGGCTGACGTTATCGCTCCACTCCCTCGCGTGGAACTTATCCTGCTCGTTGGTCCAGTACACCGTTGCCCTTCTCAGCTGCCTCTTGACGTCGACAACAGCCCCCTTTTCCACCGCCCCGCTCGCCTTCTTGATCTCGCCCACCAGTTCTGACGAAGACCCAACGCGAGACACCTGCCACATGAGGTTACCCTTGCCGGCTCCCGCCAGCACGGCCGCCATGTCGGCCACGCTGTTGGGTTTCTGGTCGTTGAGCTCCTGGCCGCGCTCACGCTTGGACTTGTGCATCAGCTTGCGGCCTTCCTCGGCCTCGTTGGCCCAGTCCAGCTCGTGCCGCTTCTTGAACTCTCGCAGCTTCTGGTAGACGGATCGGCCGACCGCACCTTGGTCCTTGCCCGCCAGCTCGATCATGGCGAGTGGACGCCAGTAGTCCTTGCGGATCTTGCGGGGGACGAGGTTCTTGCCGGTGAAGGGTTGTTGGCGGATGAGGTGTTGGTGCTAGAGGAAGGGTTTGCGCAAATGGTTAGTTGATTGGAACTAGAAGATGATGGAAAGAGGGCTTGACAAGGGAGGGTGGTTGCGTACAGAGATAACAGGCTTGGTCGAGTAGATCACCTGGCCTTGCTCAATGTGGTGAAACGCCCAGATGCGATCGCCATGGCCCTTGGGGTTTCCCTTGTTTCCTGGCTCTGACTTGAGCTGCAGCCTGGATGGGCTCTTGAGCTCGACAGCCGTCTCCTCGGCCAATGGGCTTGTCTTGAGAACCGCTGTGGTCGGTTTTGGGATTGCGGTGGTGGGGTGTGTGCTGGCGTGGCGCACGGCGCCGGCAACGTTGGTGACGGCGCTGAGACGTGAAACGCCGAAGGCCAGGCGGCCTATTGTCGAGGTTGTTACGGAGTTCATGGCGAATTGTGTGTGGTTGTATGTGTGGACGGACGTATAAGGAAAGTGTAGCACCACACGCCCACGTTAACGACGACGGGGAGTCTTCCGGCCTTGGACGGGACTGGCGCAGGCGCTGGAGCAATCGGTCGGTCGGTCGGTCGGTCGGTCGGTCGAGGAAGCCGGGTGTTGGTCGCGTTTCGAGGTGTTGGGGTTAGGTATACAGGTAGGCGCCAGGCAGGCGCGGAGACGGGGGAATCTGGAAACGGAACGGGACGGGGCTGCTCGCGCGCACGCCTGGAGCAGCAAGCAAGTCGACTCGGATCGCGGAGGTCGGGACGGGACTCGGGGCTCACAACATTTTTTTGGGTCCGTTAGGTTTCCACCAATTCGGGCCCTCCAATGCGCGGGAGTTGTGGGGAGGTGGGCTTTTGCCTGCCGGAGCTACTTAGTGTAGAGCGGGCTGAATCCCTGTCGTCTAAAGCTCCACGCGGGACCAGCTCTTACACTAAGGTACATATCTCGTGTAAACAATCCTGCTCCTGCGTTTTGACAGGTTTCCCGGATCCTAGTCGACAAGCTTTGGGGTTCATCCGAGATAAGCCTACCCTCCAGTCATGTGGTTGAGGTCGGGGTAGCTTTGCTTTTGGCCGTGTGCTCAAGCTCAACAACAGTCGGGTCTAACCAGGAAGCCGGTCGGCACTTTGCCGGATCCTCCTCCCATGTGATCAACTTACACACAAGACGGGACATCTGTTGCAAGGAACCGAGACTACTTGTTCGCCCTTGAACTCAAGATTGGGGAACGGTCTGCGACCGGTGCGTTAGACTCACAGCATAATCACATTTGTTCACCATTCAGCAGTTCACTTCAGTCATCGTGGCAACACGGAATCAGCTTTGTTACGGTAGTAGCTAAGTTGTATATGATCTTTGCACTTTACGCAGAAGGAGAGTATCATATGTAGTGTATGTCAAGGACCAGGGCTAATGTAAACACATGATTTTGATTCCCACTAAATCTTCAGAATCAATTCTCGGCCTCCGCCGTTCTTTTAGATACATCATGTCTACCTCATGAGAATCATAACATCTTTCGTTTCATATCATATAACGTACCTAAACATACATGCCCCAAACTCCAAATGCAAAATGTGCATGCTTTAAACCCCGAAGGCTATCCCATTTTCAAATTCCTCAAGTCATGATACCAAATTTTCGTCTCCCTAACACTCGGGGCGTCCACGATTATCTTCTTCACTAATCCTCCTAGTCCACCTCTACGTCGTCGCGCATGGCTGAGTCATCTTTCCTGTTAGACATCTAGTCGTCGTAAAGATCCTCATCCATCTCAGATTCCGGCGCAACCTCGTCAACTGCGTCTTCCTCGTCCAACATCATTTCGTCGTCCTCATCGTTGACCTCGGGATGGTTAGGAAGGACCGTAATCTTGCCGTCTTGGACGACAACCCTGGCAACCTCACCGTCGCGGATGCTGCCACGGAGGATCAAAACGGCCAGGCGGTTCAGAACCTCCTTCTCAAGCACACGTTGCAGTGGTCTAGCGCCATAAGCTGGCGAGTAACCAAGAGCACCCAGCTTGTCTTTGGCTTCTTCCGACACCTCGATTTTGACATTGCGATCGTTGTCTTGGAGCCGCTTCTGGATTTCCGCAATGCGTAGCTCGACAATCTTGCGGATCTCGCGACGAGTGAGACGGTTGAAGATGACAATTGAGCTGATACGGTTGAGGAACTCGGGAAGGAAGTAGTTGCGCAGGGCGTTCATGACAAGCTCGCGAGTGGTTGGATCAATCTTACCGTCCTTGGCGTTGGGACGAGAAAGGTACTCAGCACCCAAGTTAGACGTCATGACAACAATGCAGTTCCTGGCATCAACGACTCTGCCTTGACCATCCGTGATACGACCGTCATCCATGAGCTGTAGCAGAACGGTCAAGACCTCCTTGGCTGCCTTTTCAACCTCGTCAAAGAGAAGGATGGAGAACGGCTTGCGGCGAAGGGCCTCAGTCAGCTGGCCACCAGAGTCGTGACCAACGTAGCCGGGAGGAGCACCAATCATGCGGCTGAGAGAGTGACGCTCCTGATACTCAGACATGTCGAAACGGATCATGGCCTTAGGATCATCAAACAGGAACTCGGCAAGAGCCTTTGTCAGCAGAGTCTTACCGGTACCAGAAGGACCGCAGAACAGGAAGCTGGGAGGCTGGTTGGGGTTGGAGAGACCCGACCGCTGCAGTCTGATAGCGTTGGACACAGACTGAACGGCCTCCTTCTGACCGACAACAATCTTGCTGAGATGCTTCTCCATGTGCAAAAGCTTCTCCTTCTCGCTGGTCTTGAGGCGTGTGACGGGAATACCGGTCCACCGTGCTACAATCTCGTTGATCTGATCGGGACCAACGACGTCGGTGATCATGGCACCACCGGTTTCGGCCGCAGCGGCGTTGAGCGCAGCGTCAGCCGCAGCCTTTTCTTTCTCAAGCCTCTTGATTACTGCCTCCTGCTCAGGGATGGCGTAATACTGAAGATCAGCAGCACGGCTGTGATCTCCCATTCTGCTAGCCTCTTCGGCCTTTTGTCTCAAGCTCTCAAGCTTCATCCTGGCTTCCTGGAGAGCCTTGGCTCTCTGTTTCTCCTGTTCGTATTTCTCGCGGAGGGGCCTGAGCTCCTCCTCCACGTTCTCGGCATCCTTCTTTGCCTGCTCAAGACGAGCCTTGGAAGCCTCATCCTTCTCGCGAGACAAGGCGTGGATCTCAATCTTGAGCTGACGCAACTTGCGCTCCAGGGAATCGATGATCTCGGGCTGCGATTCTCGAGCGACTCTGACTGCAGCAGCCGCCTCGTCGATCAAATCGATAGCCGAATCAGGAAGTCTGCGGGAAGTGAGGTAGCGGGCCGCAAGATTTGCAGCGGCCACAATGGCAGCATCGGAAATAGTGACACCATGGTGCACCTCGTACTTCTCCTTGAGACCACGTAGAATGGAAATTGTCTCAGAAACGGAAGGCTCCTTGACAATGACCTGCTGGAAACGACGTTCAAAGGCAGCATCCTTCTCGATGTACTTGCGGTACTCGGCCAGGGTGGTAGCGCCAATGCAGTGAAGCTGACCACGGGCGAGCATTGGCTTCAAAAGGTTGGCCGCATCCATGCCGCCTTCTCCGGACGCGCCAGCACCCATGAGCAAATGGATTTCATCGATGAAAAGGATGATCATCTCCTTGGACTCGGCGATCTCCTTCAGAACTCCCTTCATGCGCTCTTCAAACTCACCCCTGTACTTGCTGCCGGCCACCAGGGCACCGACATCAAGAGACAGAAGCTTGCAGTTGGCCAGATTGTCGGGCACATCAGCGTTGACGATGCGCTGAGCGAGACCCTCAACGACGGTAGTCTTACCGACACCAGGCTCACCGATAAGGACAGGGTTGTTCTTGGTACGACGAGAAAGAATACGGATGACTCTCCGAATTTCCTCCTCACGACCAATGACGGGATCAATCTTGCCTTCCCTGGCCATGGCAGTCATATCAATGGTGAACTTGGCGAGATTCTCGTGCTCCTCTTCAGTGTCGGCATTGCGAGAGTCGACGCGCTTGGTACCGCGAATGGCCTGGATAGCATCGGTAACGAGCTTTGGCTTGGGAATGTTGGCCTCCTTGAGCGCATTCATGATCGAGGGCTCCTCGGCCAGGGCTGTGATAAGATGGTCGACGGCAATGTATGTGTCTTTTTGCGTCTTCTGTAGCTCGTTGGCCTTGCGCAGGACTGTATGGAAGGACGGAGCCATCGAGACATGGTCGGGAGGAGGGTCTTGGCTGGGGAGGCGAACGAGGGCCTTCTTGAGGGCGCGGTCGAACAGCTGGGGATCGCCATGGGCTCTCTCAATGACTTGGCGGAAGAGAGAGCTGGTTGCCCCGGCTGGTGCATTTTGCTGGTCCTTGCTCGGATCTGGGAGAGGGTCGAGAAGCGCGACTGCCAGGTGAACGGGGAGGAGTTGCGAGTGGGCGTATTGCTCTGCCAGGGCCATGGCATCCTCCAAAGCCTTCTTGGCCCGGTCTGTAAATTCCATTTTCGACGTCATGATGGATTAGTGTGTGAGACTCTGTTGGTCCCTATAGAATTTGTGTGGTGTTGTGTTTCGAATTGGGTGTGTGTGTGTGTGTTATTGTTGATGTACAAAAGAGAGAAATCGCGGAAATGTTGAGATGAAGCTAGTGTGACGTGAGGCTTCACTCTTGATGTATATCTTGGAGAAGAAAATAAAAGAATTGTGTTTCGGGTATCTCTCAGTAGACTTTCGTGTTTTGATCTGGGGAACAAACAAAGAATCGCTGACGGGGGGAGAGGTCAGAAGGAGTGGAATTTATTCGTGAGCCTTGGTGGGGAGTGAAGTCGCGAGTTGATGCCCGAGCTGGCCGTGCAAGAGCAAGTGGGATGAGTATCTACCTCTAGCTGCTTCTCGATGGTCCTCGCAGCCTGTCGCAAGTAGAGGTAGCTGTGCGGGCGGGCGCACGGGAAGCGACGACATCATAGTGACAAGCAAGCAGGCTGCCCGCAGGGGAACGAAGCGACTCGAACCTTCAGCGGTCTTCCTGTCACGATATACTTACTGGCTGCTGTTCGGGCATGAGGGGTATTAAGTGGGTACCTAGAGGGCGGGGCACATGGAAGCTTCTCAGTGGGGTCCGCGCTTTCGGTCTGTCTCTCCGTCATCGCAGTACCTGCATCTACCTGACTCCAACCAGAGAGGATTGGCGAGACCCAAACAGTTGGACGTTACTGCAATGCTTCTTTTCACTTCCGTCTTCTCCTTCTACTATTCCTTCACCGTTGATTTTCCTCTTCGTTTGCGTAGATGAACAACAAGGACGTTCTCTCCCAGTCGGACGAACCACAATGTCAGTCGGTATCCTCACACTCCAGCATCTCTTTCTTACCATACCTTTTCCCATCTACAATTCTGGCCAAGAAGGCGCAGTAAGGTCTTTGGATTGAATCACATCCACTGCGATTACCGCGTAAGGGAAGCTCCTTGCGCACCGTGGTGGATTGGGTATCATGAGATGCCTCTGACCAGCGCGCCCAACGTGAGCCAGCTTGGTTGGTCACACTTCATATTCATTCCTTCGAGATGGATGAATTCGGTGCATTCGGTAGCATTCTATGCCACAATACTCCCACGTCTCGTTTGCCACTATGTAGTCATGAACACCTCCCCACTTGAGAACCTCGGTCAGGAACGGTGAGATTGGTTGAAGAGTCTGAATGACAATCGATCAACTCGATGCGTGATACTAGTTTGGCTTCTTTTTGTGTCAGTAGAAGTTGACGAATAATCCCTCTTTGATGGGTGCAAGGCCATGGCTCGACCCATTTCACGACCAGAACCACAAGCTGCCACTTCCAACGTCAAGTGGCCTTCTGGTTACGCTTTTGTCAGTTTAACAGCTAGCTTCTTTGCTGCGATACCACTCCGATATGCATTACAATCTCTGGAAAGCTAACTTACACGGTTAACCTTGCCAGCAATCTGGATTACCAGGACGATTGAGAAGTCAGCCAGGCTCGCCGCGCAGGAAAACAATTGTGTAGATGAGGACCGAATCCTGAAAGAGAGTGGGCCGCTGGATACAGCTGGAAATCATTGGCCTCGACTGAGGTTTGTTTCTTCCTTCACACAGGACTTGGATGAACATCGCGATGTAGGAGTTCCCTCTGGAAATATAAACTTCATGGATGTCGCATACCTAGTACTGTCCGCTTCAGGTTGTTGTCACTTGCCGGCCTGTGACAGTGTCGCTAGGGCACGCTGGGGTCGCGCACGGCAAACGTAGGAGCGGGTAAAAGTGGGACTCGGCTATTTTAGCTTCGAGTATCCACTGCAGCCATTGCATCTAAAGCGGAGAATTAATGGCTTGGCGTCCCCCCATTATCGGAAGAGTGGGTTTCCTTGTCGATAAAAAAAAGTTCTGGCAGAGAAACGCGGGCGAACCTCCATCGGTTGCGGCCGTCAGCGCTTGGAGATTCCTTCGCATTGCATCACCAACTCCATCAATTCACAACACACCGACAAAATGCGCCCTCTTACAGAAACGGAGCAGAAGACCGTCTTCGAGAAGGTCAGTTTCAGTGCCGCAACAATCCCATATTCAAACAAGGATGAACAACAGCTGACTGATTGCTTTGGCACCCTAAAGCTTGCAAACTACTGCACCGATCTCAAGAGTCTTATCGCTCCTCTCGATGATGGCGACAGATACGTTTTCCGTCTGAACCACTCTCGCGTACGTTCTGCCTCTCTCGCCTCCCTCGCTTCCTCTCGACCTTGCTCGATACACCGTCTCTTCCCTTTTGGCTGTGCGCCACTGAGGACAACGACAGCCGGGCGACGGCGACGACAGCCACCACACCACCAACCAGAATAAGGGCCAGATAGACTGACAAAGATGATGCTATACAGGTTTACTACGTCCGTCTCTCCGTTGCCAACCTCGCCACCAGTGTCAGCCGCGATGCCCTCCTCAGCCTGGGTACCTGCCTTGGAAAGATGACCAAGACCGGAAAGTTCAGACTTCACATCACTGCCCGTACGTTCCATGTCCAATGCCTAATCCTTATGCGATTACTGAGACAGTTGGAATGTATTTGAAAGCTAACAACCTGATTACCAACCTCATAGTTCCTATCCTCTCCGAGCACGCCCGTCATAAGATCTGGGTCAAGGACAACGGTGCCCAGCCCTTCCTCTACGGCTCGAACGGTATACCTCTCCATCTCCTGGTTCTCTATCCTACTAGCCTTATGAAAACTAACGAGCATTTAAAAACAGTCGTCAAGGCCCACGTCGGCCGTTGGTCCGAGGACTGCCCCGAGCACTCCGGCGTCGTCGTCTACAGCATGGCTGATATTCCCCTTGGCTTCGGTGTCACAGCTCGTAGCACAACCGAGGCACGCCGCCTTGATCCCACGGGTATCGTTTGCTTCCGTCAATCGGACTGCGGCGAGTACCTCCGTGATGAGGACACCCTCTTTGCTGGTTAAAGTGTCGGTCCGAGTAAGAAAGATGGAAGGAATTAACGAAGGCTTGGAAAAGAGAAGGTCATAAGAACTTTTTATTGCTTTAGGGAAGTACCATAAAGGCGTCCTGGCGTTTACAACACACACATACACTTTTGGTCAGAATCAGATACCTCCAGCATTTTTATCTGGGCAGATATAATTTGATCTTTTTTCTCGTCGAGCAATAGGGGAGGGCCAAGACATACCTATATTCTTTATTAGGAATTGTGATCGGAACCTCTCAACCTCGTTGTTTTTATACCTGTGGAAGCCATTGTTCGTCCAGATCCCGACTTACGCAACACTCAAGTTGTATCTGTTTACGTCGTTTGCAACATGTAATTTCAAGGTACAAGCCCCGTCCATGTTTTTCGTATAACCGCACCTGTTCTACCATGCCATACCTTCAAGCCCGATGTCCGCCAACAGGACTAGCCGGCCTACTCACCGCATTGTAAAAGCTCACACTCTCCCTCTGCGCCACATACTCGCTATCCGCATACCCCAACAGCTGCCCAATCTCCACGCTCTGATGTCCCTTAATCCTTGCAATCTCGGCGCTCGCGTAGTTGGTCAGGCACCGGCCCACCTCAACCGCTTCACCCTCCCACATCTTGCCATCCGGACCGGGCGTAGACCGGCGCTTGTCAACGACGCACAGGCGCACAGCCTCTTGCTGAGCAAAGAAACCCTCCACGTCCACCACGCCGACGGGAAGCAGCCCAGCTTTGCCGAGGAGAGCCTTGTACGCGCCCTGGTCGATGTACAAAGTTCCATGCGGACGCAGGCCGTGCAGGATCCAGAAGTAGCGGTCGCGGACGGGCGAGGGCGAGGGCAGGAAGCGCGTGTGAAGCGGGATCTGGCTGCGGTTGATGACGGCTGGGACCTGCTCGGAGCTTGGGTTGACGGCCACGGCTGGGGTGGAGGTGCCAGTGACGGAGTCGGAATTGTTGTTGAGCGAGGCGAGAGACGCTGTGGACGGGTGGTTGACCTGCGTGGTAAGGGAGGCCGGGGAACGGCTGCCTTGGATATGTCTGACGATCTTGTGAATGTTGCCAGGGTTGGAAGAGCGAGTGATCACGGTGGTGACGCCGGCGGAAGTGGCAAGGCGGGCGGCTACGATCTTGGTGGACATGCCGCCTGTGCCGAGCGATGAGCCGGCTTGAGAGACTGGAAAGTGGAGGCACATGGTTAGAATGTTGTTTGAGACCCTGTGCTACAGAAATAAGAATGGAGCTTCTCACCATCGGCAACAAGAGCACCGATATCTTCCACAACCTCGATTGGCTGGGCGTCAGGGTTGGTTCTGGGGTTCTTGTCATAGAGACAGTCGACGTCGGTCATGAGGAAGAGGAGATCGGCGTGGACCATGGCGGCGGTGATGGCTGACAGAGTATCGTTGTCACCAAACTTGATTTCAGATACGGCCAGCGTATCGTTCTCGTTGACGATGGGGATCACGCCCATATCGAGCAGCTCATGAATAGTGTTCTGCGCATTGAGATATCGTGATCGCTGAAGAGAAAGTCAGCGGAAAGTCGTTCATCATCAAGGTGTGTGATCCCCACTCACATCGGAAATATCGCTTCTGGTGAGCAAGATCTGGGCGATGGGCTGTCTGAGATGGTTGAACAAACTGTCCCACAGACTCATTAGGCGACACTGTCCGATAGCTGCCAAGGCCTGTTATGGTGTAAGTCAAATTATCCTTCTTGTGGTGTACCTAGGAGGACTTGCCTGCAACTTTGAAATGTGTTTTGGTCTCCTCTCAACGTCCATTCTCTGGAGGCCAACTCCGATGGCGCCGGATGAGACAATGATGACTTTATGCCCATCTTTACGTAGCTTGACCGCTGTCTCGACTATCAGGGTGAGATTGGATAGAAGGGGCTCATGTGTTTTTTCGTCCACAATGGAACTGGTTCCTGGGAGAGTGAGTGTTAGCCCAGTGAGCCGTGGCTGATGAGATCCAGCGTGTATTATTGTCGTTTCACATGAACCTAGAGCAGTTCATGATATTTCGAGGAAAACATTGGGGGGTTTCCCTCACCGAGTTTGATGACCACTCCAAGGGAACGAGGGCTCTTCATAGCTATAATGTTGAAGAAAGCGTTAACACACAGCTCTTTCAAACAAGCGCCTCAAAACAGTAGACTGAGACCGCTCCTGAGGAGGATGGGTGAGTGAGATGAGATAACAGAGTGTGGTTCTGCACTTACACACATGGTGATGTTGCGTCTCGGGCTCCATCTTTTTAAGAATTCAGACTGCAGCTGGCCTGTATGGTACGCGCGTGATTTCACTCAACCCCAGCTTGGCCGATCAACAACCGTTTCTCGATGTGGAATTGATCCCTTCAAGGTGCATTCGGTACGGACATGATTCCCTTGGGTGCTCCTGGAAACTGGAGTCACAGTGGGTGCCGCGACTTTGGCAAAGTGGACCGACTCGTTGTTGACCGCGCCAACGGCCGACATCGGGGCACAAAGACGGGAACGTGAGGACAGCCAGGAAAAAACTGGGCCAGGGGCATTCCACGGTCACCGCCCAAGACCAGTTTCAGGGCATTGTCACAGGGCATTTTCAGCGCCTTTTGAGGGACAGACCGCTCCGGGCTTAAGGTGACCTACCATAGTGGGGTGCCCGTAAAGCAAGTCCCGAACTCCCGGTTCCGTCCCGATGGGAAACTGCCCTTAGCTACCTACCTCCGTCTATTCACTGCGCGTCCGGGTACCTCTAGTGACGACATGCCAGGTGCAGCTGGGCTGTTTTCCGTTGTGTCTCCACTGTAAATTTTAGGTCCCAGACCTCCCCGTCAAGGTGCCCATCTCATCTCAATCACGATCCGATTCGATTGCAGATCAACGATTGGAACCCCCACCTTCGACGATAACCTCCAGCTCAACCTCGAAGCAAACACAACGTCCGAACCGACAACCACACCATACTCACCATGTCACCAGCGCCCACCACTAGCGCCGGCCCCGCGTCCTCGGGCATTCCTCCCTCCTCCCTCCCCACATCCACCGTCACCGAGAACGATACGCAACCCTCCTCCTCCTCGAAAGCCAACGATCTCCTTCCTCGCTACCTCACGAACGACACCTCCCGCACCGGCTACGACCCCTCCATCCAATGGTGGATGAACTACTTCAAGATTCTCACCGGCCAAATCACGCCCGAGGGCGTCGAGCACTACCGTGAAGACCGGTACAAGGCCAACGAGGCGCGCGACTGCGCCCGGTGCGAGGCCGACCGTGACTGGCTGTTTCAGAACTCGCCGGTGATCCGGTTCCTGCGTGAGAAGGTGGCCAACCTAAACGGCGTCTTGGATGAGACCAATGTCGTGTGTCGCCGGTGTCCTAGCAGGATTGTGGTGATTCCCGGAACCAAGGACAAGGGAGAGGAGGATAGGATAGAGGTTGCCAGACAGGGTGGTGGGTTTAGTCCTGATCATGGCATCCTGTTGTGCGCCAATGAGATGCGCAATCGAGGACACTTGGAGGATACGCTGGCGCATGAGATGGTGCATGCTTGGGATCATCTGAGGTGGAAGGTGGATTGGTTCGGGGAGAAGAGTTTGAGGCACGCTGCTTGTACTGAAGTGAGTTCCCTCTCCCTTTCCTGTCCCGTCTGTTTCGTTTCGAGCTGGAAGGACAGTTGCTGATCTTTGGAATGTTCTGAGCAGATCCGAGCATCAATGCTCAGCGGCGAGTGCAGATGGACACGCGAGTCTATTGTCCGAGGCAACTGGACGCTTACCCAACAATTTCAGAACTGCGTTCGTATGCGAGCCATCCAGTCGGTTATGGCACGACCGACGTGCAAGGACGATGTACATGCAACAAAGGTGGTCAACGAGGTGTGGGACTCGTGCTTTGCGGACAAGAGGCCGTTTGAGGAGATTTATAGGTGATCTCGAGCCTGTATCGCGGATGGAGAGGGCGTTTTATACCATGTACTCCTGCTGTTTTTGTGATGAACGTTTCTTAACATGTACAATCAATGATACCACTTCTACTTGAGATTCCAGCTCTAATCTCGTGGCGCTGATATATACACCTGTCACACATGTGATACATAAACTAAAGTCAATGTCCAGTCCATTGCTCGCTAAATGCCGGAACGTAGGTAACGTATATGCACAGATAATGAACTCATAAGCCTCCTCCCCTTGACAATACGGGGATTCTGATCCTAGCCCTCTTCCTCTCGCTCAAACGCCCAAGAACGCCCGTATTACAACCTGAAGAAGAAAGGAAAAACAAAACAAGAAAAACAAGCTAACAATGCAAGTGGGCTCCACGCTTTCGCAGTGCTCGAAGAAAGTTCGACGGATATCAGACAAAGTAAAAGCAAACCCAAGAGACACCCCTCAGTTGCCCATTTTACTTGCCATTTTCTCCCGGTTCGCAGCCCTTTCTCCCTTGACGCAGTGCTTCAAGATCCAAGGGTGGTTCTCCACCTCCTCCAAAGGAAGACGCTTCTCAGGGTCGAGTACCAACAACTGGATCATGGGTTAGCATTGAAAGACCATCCTTATGGGGAACAATGACTTGTTACCTTCTTGATCAGATCCTTTGCCTCCTTGCTGACCCACTCGGGAATGGTCATATCCGCCCTCGCAATCCTCTTCTGTGTCATGATCGGCGTATCTTCAAACGGCGCCTCGCCGACCAAAAACTCATACGTCAACACGCCCAAGCTCCACAAGTCCACTTTCTCATTGTACCAGTTATCCTTGGATCCGCTCCGGATCATCTCTGGCGGCAGGTAATCCAGGGTTCCGCAGAGCGTCTGCCTCCGGTTGTTGGGCGCGTGCACGCTCCAGCCGAAATCCGATATCTTGATCTCCCCGTGAATGCCGACTAGAATATTCTCCGGTTTGATATCGCGGTGAATGACGTGCTTGCGGTGCAAGTATTTGAGGGCGGATGCCATTTGCGCAACATACTGCGCTGCTTTCCATTCGGGAAAACGGTTTTCCTTGCGTAGGTGCTTGTACAGCTCGCCCTTGCCGGCGTACTCGAGAATCAAAAAGATGCGCTTGCTGTCATGGAAGTGTCCGTACAACTTCAAGATATTGGGGTGTCGTAGGTTGGATTGAATTTCGATCTCGCGACGCACTTGCTTCTCGACTCCGGTGCCGTGTTGCAATTCCGACTTGTAGAGCACCTTGAGGGCACAGATGAAACCAGAGCTGCGCTCCCGCGCGAGGTATACGCGGCCGAATTTGCCTTTGCCAAGTGGCCGACCGATTTCAAACATGCCAAGGTGGAATTGTTTGGGGGATATCGACTGATCGTAGCCGGCACTAGAGGATGACTCGGATGTAGATGTACCTGTCGAAGAAACGCTAGCGGAGGCCATTGGCTGCGAAAGTTCGTCGTGATCATCGTCGTCGACTCTACGAATGCCGGCGTATGTCGTGGACTTGTGAGCGGCGGATGAAACAATGGTCGAAGATTTCGTGGCAACGGGAACGGTTCTCTGTGGTTTTCGTGGTGAGGGAGGTTCGCTAGAGATGATGGGCGGATTCTTCCTTTGCGCGATCTGCGAAGGAACAAGGAACGGAGGTGCTTACTACGGTATTGCCGCTTTGCGATTGAAGGGCTACTTTGAAGAGATTCGGCCTGCCGGGGGCGCTCGTGTGTTGGACTTGACTGGGACCTGCCTACGATCGCGCATATCAGTCAGAAAGGCTATCAAGCAAACATTGTTGTAAAAATCATACCTTTGACTTGAGCTCTCTCGCCTTTTGCTGAAGTCGAGCGCCATCGCTTGGATCGTTGTTTTCGTCATGTATCGACATGCGCCCGAAGCGTGACTCCATTGGTTGGCCCGCCATCTTGGGCACGACGATTTCTAGGATCGCGAATGAGAAACAGTCGCCAGGAAGACTAGGTGGGATGTTGCATAGATGATGGAAAACTAGCGGGCGGGCGCAAAGCAATACACTCGACTCCTAGGGCGTCGTGTTGAAAGCGCAGGCCACTTCAGTATTTATTGGTTGAAGTTGGTTGTCAAGCAAGGTTGGTTTTACACAAGGCCAGCGAAGTTGATGCTGATTGGAGTTGAAATGGCACTTCCCAGATGGTGGGCCAGGATTGGGGCTTTATTTACCGGGGCTCAGTTCCGTTGCCTAGCAACAGTCATTGTCTTGTCTGGCTGCGCCGAACTTTCCCTCCTGGGCTCCCTGATCAAACAACTGAGACCAGCAATGATGCAGTGGGAAGGTGGGCTTGGGCTCAGCAGCGTCTAGAGGATTACAGGAGGCACGCCCTTGGACTTGACAACCTGAAGAGACCTGACTCGGTGGTAATTGGTACGGCAATGAATATGACTGTGAGGATCTCATTTGTCTGATATCTTTGTTTTTCTCAGATCTGGCAGAAGCAACATTTGATGGCAGATGTCGTCGCAGCGACGGGACTAACCCGACATCCAAGCAATCAAGCCCTGCCGCCCCTGCAGGTGCGCGCTAACATCGGAGCTGAATGGGGGGGAAGCCCCGCTAAACCCCGCTAGATCTTCAAGCTGCTCTGAGCCTCCGACAGTTTTCATCTAACTATCTGGACATGGAAAACACAAAGGCCCGGGGTACATATCGGCCTTCATTCGCACCATCAACTGCTGGGAATTGTACCCAGCTTGACGTTTGACCTCAAATAAAGGTCTGACCTCTTACATTCCCACAAGCACAGCAACAACTGGGTGTCTAATACCTTGAAACGCCCTCGCCCGTACACAACAGTGACCGAATCCCTCACCCGACGACGACGACGCCCACCATGACGTCCGTCAAAATCAACCACATATCATCGCTCAACGAACCGTACCCCTCCCCTTCGGCCCTCGAAGCCGCCACAACAACGCACGTTCAAGGCGCCTTCGTTATTGCCACGCGTAAGCTGCCCATCCTCAAATCGGGTCCCATCGACGCCATGTCGGTGCGGCTAGGAATTCCAATTCCCGAGATGATCTTCGGTGATAACCTCGTCTCGATCACGCACCGGCCAACGGGCTGGTCGATCGAATTCAATGCCGAGGACGCGCTCGAGCGCGTGGACAAAACGGGCGAGAAGATGCTGCAGGTGGCGTACGCGGGCGAGTGGAGCTCGAGCCGCGAGAAGACGAGCGCGGGCATCAGCGAGGTGGTCAAGCCGTTTGACTGGAGTTATACAACGGACTATTGTGGAACGGAGAGGCCCGGCTCGACTGGAGGGGCTGAAGGGAAAGAAACAAAGTTGCATGGGGACGAGAACACACCGGATATACCTATTGAGCTCCTGAAGCGGCGAGACCCGATCCTCTTCGCGGACGAGGTGGTCCTTTACGAAAGTGAGCTAGATGACAACGGGTGCAGTATCGTCAGCGTGAAGCTGCGGGTGATGGAGCACCGCATGTTGCTGCTGTGCCGGATGTTCATGCGGTTGGATAACGTGCTGGTGCGGGTGCGGGATACGAGGGTGTATGTGGATTTTGATAAGGAGGAGGTAATTAGAGAGTATACGGAGAGGGAGGATAAGTTTGAGAATGTGAAGACGGTAAGTTCTTTTGGGACAAAGGAGACAGGATTGCGAAGGAATAGGTTAGCTGACGACTTGTTGGCTTTGCGAAACAGAAACTCTTCATGCAAGGCCTCAAACTGGATCAGGTCACCATCGCACTTCGTGATGCCAACCAGGTAGCGCCTCTGCTGCCGCTCATCAAGCAGGGAGTTGAGAGCGTTATCCTAGGTCCGGGTGTGGCTACAAAGACGACAACAACAACAACAACAACACGGTTCCCAGGGCAAACGCAATTGACACCACAGACTCAGTTTGTCCGTCCGCCGCCGAGATAGGGGCTGAGGACAGATTCGTACACGTTCAGAGCATTGTATGCAAAATAACATGGGTTAACATCTTCATGATTGACGGATCAACGGCATTACAGGCGTTAAGGGGGGTTTGGCTAAGGATACATAGAATCGGGATCATGCGGAGCTGCACCAACAATACCGCTATCAATCGTGGATGTTCTCCCGACCTGATCACCATTTGAAGATGCATATCAAAGCCGGCCTATTCATGTCTTTGGTGATAGTTTTTGGCGACACCTGAGGTGAACAAGACAGCATTATTTTCAGCCAGTGAATATGCAGAACGCTAGTAATCCAGATACCCGTCGACCTTTGAAACACAATACAACATGTCACATACCATTCCGGATTGCGGCATGTGCTCGAGTTAAAAAAAAACAGACCACCCGGCATGAAAATCCAACTCCATAACCCAGTAAATGCAACATGACCACATCACCTAGCATCCGGAATAGGCGAACTCGGCTGCGTAACCTCCTCAAACGACAACTCCCACTTATCCACCTCCTTGAACTTCTTCGCCGCCTTCTGCAGCTCTTCACCCAGCCTCTCCGTCATCATTTGCGTCGTTTCCGGCAACTCTTCAGCCTCACCAAGGTCCATTGCAGAAACTGGTTCCTGGTCATCATCGTCGTCCTCACCATCCTGCTCCTTATCTCTGCCACCGCCCGAAGCATCAGCACCATCGGCGTTCTCCTTGTCGGAGCCTGCTCTACCGTACGTTCGCTTTGGCTCCGAAGAGCCGGGTTTGGATTTGGCAGCGGCTTTGCCATTGGTAGTTGTACCAAGTGGCGGCTTCATTTTCTGCTTGTCCTTCTCTTTCAGCTGCTTCTGCTTTGCGGCACTAAGCGCCTTTTCCTTCTTTTTCCTGGCGGCAGCGGTGGCAATGTATGATAGTTCGTCACCGTCTGCGGCAGTTTCATCTTCAGAAGAGGAGGAGGAGCCCTCGTCACTAGTGATGTCGTAAGGGTTCTCCTTGTTCCTCCCCTTCTTGTTCTTTTTGTCAGGTTTTGCGCGATTCCGTCGAGCAGGCAGCAAGCTTGTCAGTGCCTCCGTTGCTAATTTTTCCTCTTCACGCTTCTTGGCAGCTCCGGTGGCCTTTTTGAATGCTGCGGCGACGACTGCTGAGGCCTTTGCAGTATTTGGGGCTTTGTAGTTTGGTGAGTGTGTGAGTGAGGGTGGTGAGGAAAGTTCGGATGACATGTCCGCGTCTACGGCCCCCATTGGCCCGCCGCCTAGGCGTGGTAGCAGTTCGGGAGTCTGAAGTCGTTCTGTATAAACAGGTGCTGCTCGCCGGCTGTTGTAGGACCGGTGCGTCAAGTTGTTGAGTGATGGCCAGGCCACTGGGCTCTCAGCTTCTGAGGAATCGCTTGCGGGTGGTGCGTTGACCGGGTCGTTAGGATCGATGGGGGGCCTGGACTGCCTGGGAGGACTGTACGGTATATGGTCTGGAACAGGCGAAAGGGCGGGTGTTGAGAGTGGCGATGACATGGGGCTGTCGCTTCCATCTCGCATCTCTATCGACTGGTGAATGACCTCATTTTCTTCCTCTTCTGGTTCAGGAACAGGTTGCTCATGTACCACTGATCTGCCGCGCTTCTTACGACCGGAGTGGCTTTCAAGTGACTTGCGTTTCTTCGAGCGCCGAGATGGAGAGCCGGTTTCCATGATTTCTTCGTCGTCGACAGGCATCGCTCCACTGGAGGCCGGAATCGTGACATCGGCACCCAAAGCTGCGCCTGTGAAAGCGCTGGCACCAGACCGTCTCTTCATCATGTCGAGCGGCGTCGACTCGCCATCTGGACCTGAATCTTCGTCTTCAATAGCCGCTTCTCGATCCACATCCATATGATCTTCCTCATCAGTCATGGGGATGCGTGACACCTGCGAAGTCACGGACAGGGATCTCTGTCGTCGTCCTTTCTGTGCCGTTCCCAAAATACTGGGCTCGCGCGCTCGTCGCTTGAACAGACCCAGATTAAGTGTAGACATGACGCTCGGTGTAGTGGGCCCCCTGCTACTTGGCCTGACGGGTCCGTCGTCTCTGCCTGAGACACTGTTTTGACGTGGACGGTGGCGCTGGAAGAGACCGACATCGAACGAAGAGGTGTTGGCGGACCGGTAGCCACCGGCATTCTGTGCGGTAATCGTAGGGTCCTCGAGACTATCGTCGAGGTCAAACATATCATCATCCAGATCCAGGCCGGAAGTGTCGCCTGTTAATCGCCGGGGCGCTCGCGGGCTCGGTCGGGTGGACTCCTCTCTCTCACGTCTGGAATAGGAGGTCGCGGCATCGGGATTACGGTCGGTGTCGGCAGTACCGGTTGTTGAGGTCATATTGGCCAGCCGGTCTATGGCCTGGTCTCGCCTCTGTTTCGCGTCCTCCAGCTCCTTGGCCTGGTCGGGATTCATGTGTCGTTGGGCTGCTGCCACGGCAGCGGCGCGCTGCTTAGCGCGTTCCTTCTCTCGATCGCTAACATCGTAGATATCGCTGCTGGGGTCTGTGGCAGTCGGTTTAGTGACGACGGGTGGTGTGGCGGAGGAGCTGTTGGCTGTAGGCTGCGACGGCACAACCCGTGATTTCCTCGGTCTGGGCATCGTGAATGTGTCGCGGGGTTCTCGCCTGAAGTTGTCGATATCGGGTCTCAGAGAGTTGTGGGAAGTCGGTAGAATTATATACTTGTATTAGGGTAAATTCGTGTGGGCGGATATCATGGCAGTTGGTGGTGCATATGCAGGTGTTGGGGGTCCTGTTCAATTTCTCGGAATCTCCTCCGCGGGAAAAAGTTGGAGAATCGTGAATGCAAATGCGAACACAGTATTCCGTCGGCGCTGATGTTGACGTATTGATGTACGGTTGGAGGTAGATCGGAGGAAAGTGCAGTCCCAGAGACGGGACGCGTTCCTTGATCAACACCGGGGTATCAAAAAAGACTGGGTCCTTCAAGCGCGTGGTCTGGAAGTACGTACCTCTGTATCGTAGTGGGACCCCGTATGGTAGAATGCGGGGTGAGCCGTCGGCAGGCAAGCCTCTCCGCTCTCGGCAACAGACTTCCAGACGGGAGTGCTGGACCGTGACCCAAGCGAGCCAAGATACACACATACTACATACACTACTCAGATCCAACTGGATCATTCAATGACAAGGTTGTCTGTCACCTGTGTCCGGGCGAATTGCTTGTGTGAAGTTGTAGGAGGAAACAATGCTCGATTGCTCTTTCGTAGATTGTCCTTTTCTTCGCACCAACGGCTTAACGTAGTTCCTTTACTTTCACTATGCAGTAGAGGCATCCTCAATTCCTCGTCCCTGACCCTGAGTTGTCAACAACACTGAGAAGTTCAAGCTATTCCTTGTGTCCCTGCCAAGAACCTCATTACGTCACGATCTGTAGCTAGCGTAGCGTGGAGGTAACTGGCTGCTGAAGTGGTGAACTGTTGAGCTTTCAAGCAGAGAGAGCTTCAAGCTTCCAACCAACGAACGAACGGTATCAACAGGATCGACACTTGGTAATACTCACTAGAGAGGTAGCTTATGCTTACTTATTCTACCGTATTGCTTTCCGCCTTTTCGTCCACCAAAAAGTCCATGAAGGTGACACAACAAAACCTCACATTACTCCGATCCTCCCCTTCTTCACGTCGCATTGCGAACCTCACCACCAAAAGTCCCCGTCACGAAACACCAAAAGTCGCTACATCACCTCTAACACCAAATATGGCCACCCGCATAGCCTGTCGCGCTGCCTTCCGGCGCAACGTTGTCCCCGTCACTCTCGGTCTCACAACCACCTTCGCCCTGGCCGCGCGACAACAGCCTCTGAAGCTAGACGCCTTGTCCAGCTCGCAGCAGTCGCGGTCTCTCCATTCCCAGAAAGACAACAAGGAGGAGTGGTTGAACCCGGAAACGATCAAGCAGCTTTCTAGTGGGAGTTTGAGCGGTATGACTACCACCCAGCTTGGATATTTTGATTAGTTGTATACGGGAGGCTAATGTCGACTTGTGCGGCCTTTGCAGGTTTCGCCACCGGTCTTTTGATCAGTGTCTTTTCCAAGACGCTCGTGCTTTTGGCGGGTGTTAGTATGGTGATTGTTCAGGTGGGCTTTTCAACTTCGTGACAGAAATGGAAGAAAAGTGATGTACTGACAAAAGCATGGGAATAGGTTGCGTCTCGTTACGGCATCGACTTGGTAGGCATGTTGCATCTTCGCGACAAGGTGAACTCGTCAAAGATTCTCAAGGCGTTGCAACACAAAATGGCCTTTAAGCTTGCCTTTGCCATAACCTTTGCTCTTTCTGCTTTCATGTCTTTCTAGATCGAGCAAGGTTCAACGAAGGAGAAAACAATATTAACTCTACACATCAAGATGCATCCATGGCGTATCACATCATCGGGGGAGAAGTTTGCGGAGTCGGCATCAAGACATGGATGGTAATACGCTGTCTATGTGTTGATCATTTTAGGCGTTTTGAAAAACTATCAGATATCTAATGTTTGAGACTGTTCTGGTTTTCCAACTTTGAACATCTATGACTATCCTCGCTCCTTTCGCTACATTGAACGACCAATGACCAGCTTCGTGTTGACCACTCGGCTTGTGTGCCACAACAGATAGCCATCTGAAAGACATGAGAGCCGCCATGGGTGCCAAAAAAAAACCAACCCAAGCGCCATACAGCAGCAGCGGGCATGTTAAAAAAAAATCGCTAGATTCCCGGTCAGCCCTGGCGCAAGGCAGTTTCTGGGATCCTTCGGCACACTCGTCCAGTTGAAAAAACATCCAGTGCAGACTTGATGTGGATGTTCTGTTAAGTCTCATTTTCATGGGCGGATCCAAAATACTCCAAGGCCCAACATATTTCCAAGCTCTGAGCTAAATCGTCTGGACGGTCGGGTTTGAAACTCGGCTTTAAAAACAACCTAAAACGGGCTCGTTTCCCGCAGCAGCCACTCCGTCGTGAGCTGATCTCCATCAAAGTAGCCTGCCATATTCTTCCTAATTTCCTCGTTGGACTTGTTTAGCCAGTCCTTCTCTTCCTGCGTTAGCAAGCTCTCGTCAATCAGCTTCCTGCAGTAGGGTACCATGGTGACATGCTCGAAGCCCAGATACGGCTTATCGCCAAACTGGTGCTCCGTCTTTACTTCACGAACAATGGCCAGGTTCTCAATACGGATTCCGTAGTTGCCATCCTCGTAGTAACCGGGCTCGATGGACAGCACGTTGCCAGGAGCCAGAGGAACATCGATGTACGCCTTCCGAGTACCAATGCCGATGGGCCCTTCATGGACGTTTAGGAAAGATCCAACTCCGTGGCCGGTTCCGTGGCGGTAGTCTAGCCCGTATTTCTGGAATCATTGTTAGCCATTCGTGGATATTACCACAAGGAGCAAGTCGTTACTAACCCAGAGAAATTGGCGGGCCAAGGCGTCCAACGCAAAACCACTAGTTCCCTTGGGAAATACCGCAGTGTCTAAAGCAATGTTGCCTTTAAGAACCAGAGTATAAGACTTCCTCTCGGCATCGGTTGGTTGGCCGAAGTGCAGCGTTCTCGTGACATCCGTTGTTCCGTCATAAAATTGTGCGCCTGAGTCGCAGAGATAGATGGCATTAGGGTCAATCACGGAGCAGGCGCCCCTTTCGGGCTTGTAGTGGATGATTGCGCCGCTGCGTTCATGTCAGCATCTTCAGGTGAATGAATTTCATATGAGAAACTCACTTTGGTCCGGTGGAAGAAATGGTATCAAAGGAAAGACCAACAAAGTCGGCTTGTTCGCTTCTGAACTGTTCCAGTTGGTCGGCGGCCTCCACCTCATCCAGCTTGGCCTTCTTGTTGATTAACTGATCCTCAAGCCAGGCAAAGTACTTGATTAGGGCGGCGCCGTCACGGATGTGACATCTCCTCATGCCTTCAAGTTCCGTCTCGTTCTTGATGGCCTTTGCGTCCCCGATAGGACTCCTGACCTCGTCCACGTGCTTTTCGCCGCCCAACGCCAACTTGAGAGCCCATGAGGCTTTGTTAGAAACCAGGTATTTGGTGGGCTTGTCCGGCTCGCTAGTACTCTTGGCAGCATTTGCAAGAATCTCGGTGTCCTTGAAGAGGTCGTTGTAAGGCTTGATCCCAGTGCCGTTCTCGGCCAAATATTGCTTGACCTCGTCATTCAATTTCGACTCATCGACGTACAAGGTTGCGCTGTCCTTTGTAACGATGGCGTAAGAGAAGAAGACGGGGTTGTATGTGATATCGTTGCCGCGCAAGTTGAAAAGCCACGCGATTTCGTCGAGCATGGATACGACGAAAGCAGCGGCCTTCTTCTTCTCGAGCTCCTTGCGCAGGTTTGTGAGCTTCTCTGCTGTGCCCTTTCCTGAGTACTTAGCACCAAGCAAGAAGACCGGCTCGCTGGGACGAGGTGGTCGGCTATCTCCCCATACAAGATCCACCAGGTTCTCGTTGATGGCCTTCAAGCCTGCGCCGCCGTGCTTCTTGATATCGCCATCGAGCTTGTCGGCTACCGCCGGGGAAATCAGGGTGGGATCGATGCCAACAGATTTTCCGCCAGCGGATTCGTCTGCTGTCCATTCTTGCCAGGTGGGGACATCTTGGAGCCCGGTCTTAAGCAGGTGCCAGTTCTCATCCAACTGTTTGGAGGCCTGGTTGAAATAACGACCATCCGTGGCCAAGGCGGCCTTGTCCAGCGTGACGACCGCTGTTCCAGCCGAGCCAGTGAAACCCGAGATGAAAGCACGGCGGGCGTCGCATTCGGCAATGTACTCGGAGGCATGGCTGTCTTCTGAGGGGACAACTGCGAGATTCCAGAAGGGTCAGCGGCCAGTGCAATCGTCTTGGCGGAGAACGGCACAGGGCGTACCATAGATGTCAACATTGCGCTCCTTCATGAGAGACCGTAGAGCGGCCAAGCGATCCGTTGTGTTGACAGTCATAGTTTCTTCGTCCGAAGCGGCTCTAAGATGTTGGAATAATCTTGATGTGAGAGAGAATGCTCTGGTCGTACGTGACGGCTGAGGGAAGGCAGTCAAGGCCCTGGGCAGATTATGTAGAACCCTGGCGGCTTGGGAGCGGCTGGCTGGTCGGGGGACAGAAGACGCAACTGCTGTCAGGCAAGAAGAGGGAAAGGACCAAAAATTACGCATGGAGAGGAGAGGAGTGTTCCCGTAACGTCGCAAGGGGCGGTGGTTTTATAGGATAGCAGCTACCGAGAAGCTATCACCTTTTGACTTGGACGAATGGAAGAGTCAAGTTTGGGGACTTCTACTTTGGGCGTAGTTGGTGGACGGGTACCTCCCGCTCTACACAGCACGTCCAGTCGCAACGTTCTGGTCACACGACGGGACGGGTTATCGCAGGTACCTTCCTACCTTGCCTACTGTAGTGGTACCTATCAGATTTGGTGGGCTCAACTCGCATCCCACGCGGGTCGGGAGCTCCTCTGGGCCCAACGATCAACGCCCATCATTGCGTGCCCTGGGGCTAGGTAGAGGTAGTAGGTACTTTCCATTTTGAGCCACCCTCCCCCCGCCTCCACCGGCTCTGCGGCCGCCTCCGCCAGGTGGGTCCCGTTGCTACCACACCTCACTACATACATACTGTTAGTTGAAGCCCTACGATAGCGTGTATTCAGGAGATGGACACTTGAGAGTTGAGACAAAAACACTGCCAATTCTAGCCCACCACATCCAGGCCAGGCTCCATAGTCGTTTTTCATCACCAAAAAACTGGAACAACCACGCACAAACTTCGGTCTTGTAAAACCTCTTTTTCGATGTGGTCAAGTCATTGCAAAAACAGAAAGGAACAACACTACAAGCGCGGTCTCTTCAACAGCAAGAGTCCATCTCCCGTCTCTGTTCTTGCACATACCTCTACCTATATCAGAGTGATAACAAATTGACGGTTCTGGAACCAAACGACCCACCGATACGATCCACTATTCTAGTAACCTTCTCTTCCTTGGCATCATTCCTCACCAACACGCGCCTTCACCTTTCCTCGCCAAGTTGGACGACCGTCGGGCATATTTCTGCACTCGCACTCCTCCTCACGAACCTGGTAGAGTTCACTAAATAATGGAGCCACTACCCTTACCCACCAGTTTGGCTGAGGTGGAACAGGTAAGAGGAATCGTGATAAGAGGATGGCGGATTAATGAACCAGGACGCCCGTAGAGACCACGAGGCTAACGCGACTCACTTCTGCTGACAGTTGATAATAGCTCTCTATCAGCCAAACCCCCCTGAGACCGTCTCACGCATCCAGGAGATTCTCCAGAGGTTGCAAAAGTCCCCCGAGGGTTGGCAACTTGCCCAGAGCTTGATTGGAAACCCAAATGACAACATCAAATTTTATGCGGCCTTGACGATTATTGTAAAACTCAACAAAGACAGGTAGATACCTTTGCCATGCCATTCCTCTTCCCTGTTAGGCCTTAGCAGACTGACAAACTCTCTAAAGTGCCAACCTCAACGACGATGAGGCAAAGGAGCTGCTGCAAAACATCCTTGGCTGGACAATAGCATCGTGCGCCCAGGGTGTTGCTCCCTTTGTGATCAAAAAGTTGTGCGTTGCTCTCGCCACATTCTTCATCCACTTTTCTCAGCTATGGCCCAACTGCCTTCGGCACTTCCTTCACAGTCTCGATATCGGACGGGCTACCCCTATCGAGGCATTGGACGACGCTCTAGAGACTCCTATCATTGCCAACAATCTTGAAATTTCGAAACTCAAGGTCGCCGTCTGGTTCGCAACCTCCCTTGTTGAAGAAGTCGGGAAGACGGATATGAATTCGATCAAGTACATCCATGTACACGAGCGTCTCGTTCGTAATGCCTTCGACTTGGCCTCATTGCTAGCACGCGGATTCCTCCCATCAGATGACGCCTACCAGACTCAGGGGGAGTCGCTTGTCTGTTTTCAGGTGAGTGGAAGAAACAGGTTTATCCCAGGGTTGCCGATATGGACGAACTGGTCGCTGACGATCATGTAGGCCTGGATTCTCTATGCTCAGCGACTGTCCTCAAATACCGATGTTCTAGTGACACATCTACGGGAACTTGTTGGCCCGGCTCTCAACTGCTTCGCCATCGACGATTTATTCCAGCCGGCCGCCGAACTCTTCAGTGACGTACTGAGCAATTATTCGGGATTCTTCACAGAGGCACATTATGCGTCATTGGCCTCTTTATTCGACAGCGAATGGGCGGCAGAACACTACAACAGGGTCATTCACGGCGACCATCAGCTTGATGGCATTTCATTTGGTCTTCTCATGCTTGCGTATGGTGATGCCAAGGTGTCGGATCTCATGTGTAGCACAGACGAGCGGTCCCAGAGGTTTCTGGCCAGGCTGGCCGGTCTTCTCGCTGCTGATGGCTATCTGGTGGGCGAGGATTCGATATTTGTCCCTGCCCTGGAGTTCTGGGCCACGTTTGTCGAAACCATGATCGACAATATTTACTCGGAAGACGAAGCAAAAGTAAACGTCTGGCGCTCGCATGCTGAACAACACCTCAAGAGCGTCGTGTCGAACTGCTGGAGGAAGGCACAATGGCCCCCTGCAGAGACTTTCGCCGAATGGGATTCCAATGAGCGTGTCGGCTTTACGGATGCGAGAAAAGACATAGCGGATATGCTACAATCTATATTCACTCTCGAGAATCTCACTCTGGTCTCGTTTTTCTCTGGTCTTTTCCTCCAGGCCCTCTCTGTTCAGTCATGGGCCGAAGTTGAGGCATCGGCATTCTGTCTCGGATCCCTGTCCGACTGTATCACGGAAGACCCCCAATATGACGTGGAGTTAAGCAAGGTCTTTGCTTCACCTTTTTTTGATCTTCTCGGCCAGGCTCAAGGTCCGGTCCCGCTACGCCTGCGCCAGACAGGTCTTTTGCTCATTGAGCGGTACTGCGAGTATTTTGAGCGCCATTCCGAGTATCTTCCTCATGCGCTCAACCTGCTATTCGCGGCCGTTGGCGACCCTGTTCTTGGTGGGCCTTCTGCGAAATCCATCTCGACTCTCTGCTCGTCGTGTCGCTGCATTCTCACGAGCGAAGCACCGGCCTTCATCATGCACTACCAAACAATTCGTAGCAGACAGGTTCTCGACTCCCTTGCAGAGGAACGTATCATCCTTGCCATTGCTTCTATCATCCAGGCCATTCCGGATTCCAACCAGAAGCTGGCTGTCTTTGAGAACCTCTACTCGATCATCAAGGCAGATTGCGAGCGTGCTGTCCAGCTCAAACAGCAGCCCAGCATATTGAACCTGTCTGACCCCAACTTCTTGCGCGGTGTTGAGCAACCAGGCGATGTTCCTTCTGCCGATGAAGTCTCTCAGCAACTCGCCGTCCGTGCTCTCCGATCGCTGCAAAGTATGGCTAAGGGTATGCAGGATGTCAAGGAGCATGTGGTTGACATTGACGCCGATCCATTCTTCGCCAGCCAGGACCCGAAACTCTCTGCTATCCAGTCCGATATCCTCAACGTCTTGGTCGAGATGCAGAAGAATTTCAACACCAGCGGAGAGATCGTTGAAATAATATGCATCATCTTTCGAGCAGGGTTTTCAGAGACCGAGCCGGGCCCGTTTGTGTTCCCTCCTGAAGTCGTGACAAATTTCCTCAGTCAACAAAGATTCGAAACGCCTAGGCTGGGCACTTTGTTGAGCACAGCATGCTCGTTTGTCGGAAGTCTGTACAGGGGACCAAAGAATATGGTTCCATCTTTACTGGCTCAGCTACTGCCTTGGGTAATCAACATGCTCAGTAGTCTTCCGGAACCAGAAAGCGACACAGAAGTAGCCCAGAACGGCATTTGCTTCGTGGACAAGATTATGACAAGATACCCGGAGGTGGTGTTCCAGATTCAGCCGTCACAGATGCTCGAGTTCTTTTTCATGTTCTCGCTCAAGGTCCTAAACGGGAAGGAACCTCTGCCGAAGACAGCGTCGGCGGAATTTTGGGTATGTCTCTTCGGGCTCCTTGAATGATTAACCAAAATGTTTGCTGACTAACATGTTAAATCAGAGTAACTTCATTACCCTCAAGTCTGATTCACCCGATCTTCAGGGAACCATCAACGCCGCCATGGAGCACCTCGGGCCGCTTATATCGCAGACTCTCATCCAAAATATCGGGGGCAACGCTGCAAGAAGCGAGCTAGACAAGCTAAGTGACCCTCTCAAGAAGCTTGTGACGAGCCAAGTGCGTTCAAGGCAGTGGCTCGAACAGGCGCTCTTCGACCCCAGTTTCCCCGGTCAGCAGGTAGGCAACGACGAGAAGTCAACCTTTTTGAGGAAGATTATTGGGTAAGTCTGTCAGTTACTTGGTTCTTCCGTATACAAACTGCTGACCTACAATTTATACAGACTGAGAGGGGCGAGGGCCACCAACCAGGTAGTTAGAGAGTTCTGGCTGGCTTGCAGGGGTTCAAACTTTTCATATGCTTCCTAGGCTTGTGCAATGGTACTTACGAGCCTAAAACTGGATAGAGATTATGAAGGAACTTTTGTAACCTTTTCTCTGTAATAAGTCGAATTTGCTCTTTCCTGTGCAGGTTATCTTGACAACGGCTCTTGAAAGCATCATTTGGACATGGTAGGCAACGTTGTAAGCCAAATTGGGACCTAGTTACTGTTTTAGTCGACAACAACAGATGGTGTAAATGATTCTTTCGGAATGCTACTCAATTTACCATCAGGCACACACTTGCCAATGACGTGCTTCTTGTGTATAAGGGTTATGAAGCGAGCGAGGAAGGGCTCGACAAAGAGCTCTATTGTGTCTATACGTGGTCCTAGCGTCACCTCCATCTATAACCCTGCCAAGCCCCAGGTGCATCAAGGGTGGGCGGTCATACTTCCATACACAACCCTCACTCTTCAACCACAGTTCGTCCTATCTCCAGTCGAGCTTCACCCAGACTGAATTCACTACGTCCCAGTGTAAGTTCAAACACCCAGTCACTAAAAGTCTATGTGCTTACCACAAAGGAAGCTGTCCCTTTTAAAGACAGTTCTTACGTTTTTGTCTGTGACACAAAAACTAACACGCACGGCACGGCACGACACTGTGATTAGTCTTTGGAGGTAAACCCTCTCCCGCAACATGAAGTCCCTCACCAGGCCCTACGGCCTTATGTGCCGGCATCGCCTTACTTCTCTCACCACTAGAGCATCAAATCTCCAACAACGACCTTATTCTTCTAATTCCTCGTCTGAGACAACAGCAACACCAACCGCAACACCGACCAAAAAGGCACAAAGACAAGTAATCTTCTCCGGTATCCAGCCCACAGGCATACCGCACTTGGGCAACTACCTCGGCGCCCTTCAGCAATGGAAGCGCATGCAGGACGGCGCGGATCCTGAGACGACGGATCTCATTTTCTCCGTGGTTGACCTGCACGCCATCACCGTGCCGCAGCAGCGCGGCAACCTCAAGAAATGGAAGAGAGAAATGCTTGCGGCGCTGCTGGCCATCGGCTTGGACCCCAAGAGGTGCACCATCTTTTACCAGAGCATGGTGCCAGGGCATTCGGAGTTGCAGTGGATTTTGAGTTGTACAGCTAGCACGGGGTATTTGTCTAGGATGACGCAGTGGAAGGTGAGTTTCTTTGAGATTATTGTTCGATGAGAGAGAAAAGAGAGAGAAAGAGAACGAGCGGGGGAAAGGTTTGAACACGAGACCAGCGACTGATGGTATGTGTGTGGAAACTACTTTACTACAGAGCAAACTACAATTAGCAGACGACGCCCACGTGCTAGATGACAAGGCCAAATCCTCTCTCAAGCACGGCTTGTTCTCTTACCCCATCCTTCAAGCGGCGGATATCCTCGTTCACAGGGCGACCCATGTCCCCGTCGGCGAAGATCAGAGGCAGCATCTGGAGTTTGCTAGGGAATGCGTGACCAACTTCAACCACGCCTATAAGGGCAAGGTGTTGGTAGCTCCCGAGACGATTTTGTGTAAGTACATCGTCATGTCTTCTCAACCCGTGGCCCTTCCGCTTAAGATACCTCGAGTCTCGAGTAACTGCTTCATCAACTAACCACCTCCACATATTATACACAGCTCCAACAAAACGCGTAATGTCTCTCCAACTTCCCACCAAAAAAATGTCCAAATCCGACCCCGACCCTTCCTCCCGCATCCTCCTTACCGACACCCCCTCCGAGATCCACGCCAAGATCCTCAAAGCGCGGACCGACTCGCTCACGCCTTCCCTGGGCATCACCTTCGACCCGATCCAACGCCCCGGCGTCTCCAACCTGCTTCAGCTGCTCAGCCATTTTGATACGCAAAACCGTTCCGCGCAGGAGATCGCGGCCCAGATTAATGCTGAAGTTGTGGGCATTCATGGTGGGCTAGGAGGAGAAGGGGAGGAGAATCCGTTGAGGAAGTTAAAGGAGAGGGTGAGCGAGGTGGTGCAGAGAGAGCTGAATCCGATTAGGGAGAAATATTTGAAGCTGTTGCAGGAGGATGGGGGGAAGGAGGGAGGTCATTTGGATGAGGTTATTCGGGAGGGGGCGAGGAAGGCTAATGAGAGTGCGGAGAGGACGATGAGTAGGGTCAGGAGGGCTGTGGAGTTGGGTGCTTGAGGACATGCAGAGTGGGAGGTTTTTGTAAGATAGATACTGGGTGATCTGGTTCGGACACATTTTCGGTAGATAAAAGCTATATGGGATGTCTGTATCTGTGGTCTGTATTGCTTAGAATCTGGCCGTCGTTCCCATGGTGCTTCCTCGCATCGATCTCCTCCAGTGGCAATTTCCGTCTAGTCTTTCTCGTGCACAGCACAGTCGAGCCATGATCGTCTCCTGATCTGTACTATACATTTCTTATGCTACAGTATCTATACACAAAGGACGGGCCATATGCTGAAGACAAAAGGGACAAACCTGACCAGAGAGAGACAGACAACAAGAACAACCACCCAGGCTTAAAGGGCTTGAGACGGGACCAGCAGTTGGTGTATCCGCTTAGCGTCCACCCGAAATCCGGAGTCTCTCCTTGGCAAGGAAGTCCTCGAAGTTGCCGACACCCTTCATGTCGCTGACATGGCTGAGGTGTTCCCACCTGGTCTCCAGAAGTTTCTCCACCTCGCTCTTGCTCTCGTCCATGGCCTTGCTGACACCTGTTTGATTTGGAGACGCTGGTTAGCATACAGGCAACCGAAAAACAGTCTTCCGAAGCAAATATGGGACGGTAATCCACGTACCAAGCTTGCTGAACTCCCAAACGTTGGCCTTCATACCGATACCATAGTAGGCATGCTTCTGCAAGAAGGCCAACCACAGCTGCACCGTCTCCGGGTGGCCGTCCTTAATCTGGATCAGTCTTCTGAGTGTGACACGCTCAAAGTTTTCCTGCGACTTCTTGAAAATGAAATGCGACTTGGGCACGGTCCAGCGTTCGATCATACGCGGCAGGGGAACGGGGCCGAAGGCAGGCAGGCCGAGGTAGTAGGCGGCGCGAAGGGCGAAGTCGCAGAAGAACTCGAGGTTGCGGATCGAATAGGACCGGAGCTGGAGGTCGCACGAGGGAACGCCATACTCGGCTTCGCGACGAAGCGGCTGGAGGTAGAGGGCCTCGAGGGAGCGGGGCATACGGGACATGATCACCTCCTGCTCCTCGGGTTCCGCGGCGGCGGCAGCGGCGGCCTTGGCTTTCTTCTGGTCCTTGGGGGCCTCGGTGGTCGTCGTGATCCGGGCGATCGGTGTGGTGCTAGCAGCATATACCGGTCAGTCATTCTGCACCGCCTGGGCTGGTTCGCTTATGTGACGATAGATGGAGGGAGGGAGTGCGTGCACATCGGCGGGGTCTTCGACGAGTGGGTGGGCGGGTTTCGGAGGCACGGCGACGTTATCGAGGAGGATTATTTGCGGCAATGGTTACTAACCTCGCCTTGGAGGCGGCATCGGGACCTGTGGTCCTACTCAACTCTTAGTTCCTGCCCGCGCATACCCAAGGATCTCAGCAGCACTCTGGTCACTTACACGGAAGCATTGCGCCGGAGCTGGGGCAACGGCTGGAAGACGCTCTGGGCGGACCGGAGGGTCGCAAGAGGCTGCCGTCCCCAAGCAGATTAGACAACTATCCCACAAGCGCACACATCTTACAAACGCATGAGGAGAATTCTTACCGCCCGTCCCTGGAGGGACCGTACTACTGGCCTTATTATCATCTTCGCTCTGGGTGGTCTGGGAGATTAAACGTCTCCAAGTTGCCGTCGCGCGCTGCGCGGATCAACCGAGTTTTTAGCGCAGGTTCCATACTGGGGGTCAATTCGGGGTTCTTATCGATAAGGAGCTAGTGACGCCCATTTCTTGAGCTACCAAAACATCACCATCACAGAGAGCGAACAGAAGCAAAATAACAAGTCACTAGTAGCATAGGAGACATCAAGTGGTTATCAAACATTGGATTGTCCGATGTTCGGCTTCTCAAGGCACCGGTCTGTGACGTCGCGGCTATCTAACGGAGATTGCTCCATCATTCCTATCAAAAATAAAAAAAAGTCCTGGCAATCTCGCAACAAATGGCAGAGATGCCTTCTCTGATCGCCACGCGGACGAGGGATACTGTTGTGCAGTCGAACTAAAGCTCAAGACTGAAATAACACTATTAATCCCACACAATATTGCCCTGCATGATGCCAATCCTCTGTCGTGTCGACCAAGGTCAACCGACGAGGAGCCGGAAGCGGCGTTTTGGTATCGGTGTCGCATCGTTGCTTGCTGCAACAATCGCGTGCATATGATGTTGGTTGTGGTACGGTCGAAGGTGTCCCGCAAGGTAATTTGACCATAGGGTGTTGTTCGGATCACTTGCGCTTTCTCCTTCCGTTGACGAGCTTCTTGTAGAAGTTCTTTCCTCCGCTCTGCTTCTTCTCCTGGATGCCGTGGTACTTGTTCTTGTACTTGTCAACAACCTCAGCACCAAGAACCTCCTCGACAATGGTCCGCTTCCTCTCCTTGCGGGTCAGTCGGCTGTCACGACCGTCAGTAGCACCAGCAATGATAGTGCCAACTTGAGAGAACTCGGGCACAAAGTCCTTGCGAGTGTCCTTCTTGAAGTATTGTTTTCCCATGGCGACGACCTCACGCATTCTCAAAATTTGCAAGTCTCTCTTCAGCTCAGGGGTCAGATTCGTACGGGGCATGTTAAACCAATCGGCGCCAGCGTCATTCTTAGGTCCCTGTTTCTCTAGTCAGCATACTGATCTGCAAAGTCTTAGAGCAGGAACGGAAGAGAAAGGATGTCCAGTCAGAGTAACTATGAACATAAAGGTAATCATTATGGTGCAGACAGCAACCCCATGACGGGGCGCCGACCTGCGTCATGAAAAAATGGGATAGATTTTCATCATGGAAGGGATGTGATGCGTGCTGAGGACCGCTGAACGTACCTTGCTCTTATCCTTGGATTGGGGCACCCGAACCGACAACTTCTTGGACTTGTTCTCCAAGGTTGGCTTCACCACCTCAGCAGGAGCGGCCGAGGGAGCCGCAACCACTACGGGGATTTGCGCTGCGGGTGCAACAGCGGCGTCTTGCTGGGGAGCCGCGACAGCATTTGAGCTGTCCGAGTTCGCAAGGCGAGACTCGGCTTCAGCAAGGAGTTTGTCGATCTCAGCATCGGACAAGCCGAGTACAGAAGCCGCCATCTTGCTGGTCGGCCAAATGCACAGTTTCGGGAAATGAAGACTGTGGAAAAGCTGCTCAAGATTTGCAAGCAATTGGCGAGAGGGGAAGAGAAGGGAAGAAAAGTCGAAGCTTTCACAGCAAATTGGGGACAAGAAAAAGATAAATTTTTGAGTGGAGCCGGCGGGGAAATGTCCAGGCGTCCGTTCCCGCCCATCTCAGCCAAGACTTGGCATTGCTTGTGCTGAGCTCCACGGTCACGTGAAGCTCTTGTACGACTGGAGCCAGGCCTCCAATGAGTTGGCAGTCCACAGCCCCGGGCCGTGCGTCATACATACCTCTGGGCGCGGAAAAATGAGGCTGGAGAGTGCCAGTTGTCAACGGTTGGGCTCGGGGCAGGGGCGGCCGCGACGTCGAGCAGAGCTTGTCACTGCAGGTAGCGCGCCACAGCTGCCAGTCGTTGTCTTTCGGCGTCTTTCTGCTGCAGACTGCAGTGAATGTTGCGGCAGTCATTTGGACGGGAGTTGTTGAAAGTCTTCAAAAGGTTCACTGATGCCCAACCTTTTGGTTTCTCCTTGTACTGAGTCTGACCGCTTTCACTCACAAATCATCATCTTACCGTCTTTCTTGTTTCCATTGTCCGTCTCTTCACATCCTCCAGCATCTGTTTGAGTAAAGCCATTGCTTCACAGGTACGTGCTTATCTGCTAGTCTGTCCATCTCATCCTCATCCGCCAGTTCCCGCGAATAGCATTTCCCAGCCTTTGGCTTCACGCCAAAAGACGGACCTACACCCCCAATCTCACCAATCATTTCACCTTCCTCACCAACTGGAGCTCTTGCCCGTGTGGCTCGTCCCGAAGTCAACGAGAGGCGAGCCCGGAGCAGCGAGTCGTCCATTGACATTGAACTCCACCCACTTGCTCCCCTCTCCCCAAACAGGGAGTCCCGCCAATCAATCGCTCTGCCCAATCAAGCAGGATTTCTGAGTGAGAGTCGGTTTTGCGATCATCATTCGTCGGCTCCGTCCTAAGTAAACAAAGACCCCAAGGGGCTTGTCGACATCATAGATAGTTCTTTCTAAGCCCAACGCGCAGAAGCTAGATCTTCCTGGCTGGGAAACACAGAGAGCTCTTCGGCAAAGCGCGACCATTATACGCGACGCCAGCAGGACATTCAAGCTGAAGTTTTGTTGCTACAGACAGAGGTATATTGACATTGACCCAAGTCATCCAGTACAGGCCACCGATTTGCGACCAACTAGTCCCCGTTTCCCCGCTGCTCGCCAAACGTTGATATTCGCCATGGATCCCCAAAATCCGTCTTCGGCTGGGCATAACCAGCAACAACGCCAGCAGCCTGTCTACGACACGAGCCAAGGCGGCCATTATGGTAAGTAATCGCCGTCTCAGCGCTTTCCGTCAGGGAACAGTTTACTCACCATCATATGCTGTATAGGTGCCAGTGCTGCGGTTAGTACTCACCCTTTGCAAGCGGGCTTCTCAGTCCTATCACATCATAGTTGGCAGTCTAACGCCTTTCATGTCGCTAGCTCTCTCAACAAGGCTTTGCTCCCTCAGACCTTTACACGGGAACATGGGCCAATGTTCATCAGGGCCTCCAGGGCAATTACAAGGAAATCCTGACAGCTTACTGGCAACAAACCATCAACCATCTCGAGAATGATACCCACGACTACAAGTTGCATCAGCTGCCCCTGGCACGAATCAAGAAAGTCATGAAGGCGGACCCGGAAGTCAAGATGATCTCTGCCGAAGCACCTATCCTCTTCGCCAAGGGATGCGATATCTTCATCACCGAGTTAACGATGCGCGCGTGGATTCATGCAGAGGAGAACAAGCGCCGCACTCTACAGCGTAGCGACATCGCCTCGGCCTTATCCAAGTCCGACATGTTCGACTTTCTCATCGACATTGTACCCAGAGAAGAAGCTTCCACACACGCCAAGCGCGCGACTGGTCAGTCAGCTGCTGCTGCCGCGCAGGCTGCCCAAAACGCGGCCCAGCAAGCTCAAGGCATGCCGGGGGTTGCTGCGCCTAACCATGGCGGACAGCACCCCATGGCCGCTCCTGACTACACGCTAGGTGGCCATGCGATTGCGCCTGAGGCCGACTACCGCCAGCAGAACATGTACTCTGGTCAGGTACAACCCGGAGCCCCAGCGCCGTATGGACAACCTCAACCTCCCATGTATGACGTTGATGGCATGTACTACTCAACAATGCCTCCTCAGCAGGTACATATATCTATGCGCTTCTCTACTCATCACGCTCGCCAGGTAACATGCTGACTTGACCACAGAACGCCTAGGGCGCGCATTCTGGAGGAGATAAGATTGGAGAGTCTTCTACATCCCACCTGTCACGAACTTAAAGGCGGCAGCAGGAGTAATGAACTTACGGCATCAAGCCACACTGACATGGCTTCCACCTTGGTCGCTTCTTTATTTACATGGTTCTTCATCTTCATTTGATAAGATTCAAAGACTGCCGATCTAACAATATACAAAGGCGTGGCGTAAATACGGGTTATTTCGTTTGTTTCAGGTCCGTACCATGGACGGAGGAAAGGTGCTTGGAAGGCTGGTCGGTTGGTTATGTCACAAGGATGTCTATCATGTTTTGCTCTTTTAGTTCATGGATCTGCGTTACATCCACTGCATTCTGCATAACCAATATGGTGATGGACTAATAGTGAAGTTGAGTTTCTGCCATCACGTTTCAGAAAGGTGAAGACAAACGAACGCGTGGACGTTATCCTACAGACTCGCTACTTCAATTTCGCGTTGCTTTGACCTGTAGTCAAGTCACTTCGGCTCTCTTCTTCGTCCATTCACTGAACCACTTTTCGTCTCTCTTCGTCCCTTCTCCATTTCCACTACTGTGTAAGGACCCAGCTTCTAAGCGGCAGGACCTTCACTGGGAGCAAATAAGCCTCATCTCCCAACAACTCCAGTATCGTATGCGGTAGGTATATCGAGAGCCAGAAAACACGTGATGTTCTCATAGGTATACAACTGGCCTCGACTATACCTCCAGGCTTGGGCAACTATACATTTATTTTTCTCTCTTTGTTTCCTCCCCCCCTTCGCTCCTCACGTCAGATCACATTACAAGAATGAGCGTGATCTCGTTAACTCGTACTATTGCGTGAGGAGACTATTGAGAGCACATAATTGCAATGGCTACCAAATGAGGGGGGGTTTGGGAGCAGTTAAACGTAGTTGAACCGGTTGGCAACGAAAACATCATCCTAGATATGGGGTATATTGAGTTACTGATTCAAGTTTTCAAACAACAATACTATTAGTTCTCGACCGAGACATCAACGCAAACCGAAGCGCGATCCGAAGTTAGCGAGCGGCGCAGCGGCTCGGCTCGTAGTGGTACTCTCGACTCCCAAAGTGAGCCTACAATAATGGGGAAAGAGGAGCATACGGTTAGTACATTGTTATTGAATGATCTCTCGGGTGACAGACGGGCATAGTGGAGGTGACGGGGGAGATGCTGCGCATCGGCAAACTCACTTTTCCAATAATATCGGCCCGTTCATGGCATCCACACGACCGTACTTCTTGTTCCTCGTAGAAATGTCGAAGAACTCGTCGTGATTGTCCGATTGCATGAGCGCGATTGTCTGCTGAAGTTCGTCTAGGTTCTGCTCAAGCATAGGGGCATTTTCGAGGTTAGCGACGAAGGCAGAGAGGTGCTGCACGTCCATGGCCATGGCAGCAACAGCGTTGGCGTTGATTTTCTTGACGTCTGGGGATAGCGGTAGAGCCTGTTTAGATGAGCGACATTGTGTTAGCACGGTTTCAGGAGGAGTGAGGACTGCAAAAACTTTCATGAGGGAAAGGGGTCAAAGTTCGGAAGGGAAATGAGGTGGTAGCTTACCAGAATCTTGTTGGCAGCGTGGCTAAGGGCGTCAAAGTAGATGAGCTCCTTGATTTCTCGAGGCAGACCAAGAAGGGTGGAACCCATTATGTTTTCTAGATACCTCGTCAAGGTCTGCATGTAATTACTAGGTTCAGTGGGCTTAGACGGAGTCATCCTGTTGCGATGGTCAGTAGGCAGAAAGTCGCGCGGAGCGGTAGGTCGAACGTACCAGTTGTAGTCGGAGGTGTCGACAAGGTCGTCGATCTTGGAGTTGACAAGCTCGAAGATGCGTTTCTCGGCCGTCTTCTTGTTGCTCCTAAACTCTTCGGTTGATTTGAGAGAGACAGGCCCGCCTGCGGACGTGGATGATCGTGCGCGAATTAGTTCCTGCTCCAATTGGTGGCAAGCTTCTTCGAAGTGTTCGAGGTTGATCAAGATTTGAACGATCTGACCCAAATATTGGGAGTTTAGGCGTTCTACGAGGGTCCGGCAGACCTTCTCGGTCAACAGCTCGTCCAGTGACTGCCTATGGCGTTAGATATCGACACCGTAAGAATGAAATACGAAGGAGTAAAATGCCTACCTTTCTGAGTGTTTCGTCAACAATATTGGGATGTTGGAAATGATCATTAGAGAAGAAGTAGAACTGATTCAGGAAATTCCTAATGTCAATGCAGCAGAGAGGATACATCTGTGAAAAGGGAAGGACACAAGGGAACCTGATCTCGTGTTAGTACAGAAGCTCACTTGCAAAGCAGGTGATAGGTGACATACGTGAGCTCTTCTGGAGCTTTCTCCTCGGTATACCAACTGACTTTGAGGACCTTTTCGTATTCCTCGGCGTTGTTGATTTGCATGGGCATGTAATCGTCGGTTGAGACAATCTCTTGAAAGTCATCGCTGAATCTGCGCTTGAGCAGCTCGGCATACTTGTAGAAGAGGGTTAACTGGAAGTTGTTCAACGTGGAAACAGAGTAATTCCAGCTCTGCAAAACAAGTTAGCGCCCCGAAGACTTTGACAGGCACGAGACTACTCACCTCCATTGTCTGGATGAACAGCGCAATATCCCCCTTGATTTTCAGAAGCAGTTCAGCATTGTCCACGTCTGTGAGCGATCTTGAGATGAGGCGGATGGCAGTCTGGCACATGGAATCCCACAACTCGTCAACTTCGACTGTGGATCGCAGTTGCGGAGCACGCTGTATCGTTGCTTTTTCAATCACGGCGAACCCGGTGATTTGCTCCAGAAGATCACGAAGTGAGTTTTCTTCCTCGTCGGATGACAAATTCACAGAACTCGGCATGAGGAGTTCCTTTTGTTGACGCCGAGTGGCCGCATACTCGGCACGGAATTTGTCGATTTGACCCAGCGCCTCGTGAATATGAAGTGCTTCATGTAGTGGTGTAAAGTCGACCTGGACTTCTTCGTTATCGAGGACATCAAACTCATCGCTCTCGTCGAAAACCAGTTCAATCGCAGAGTTCAGTTTGAAGTGACCCAGGTATGGGTTTTGTTCGGCACGTTCTCGCTGACGGTCCAGCCGCTGCCTTGTGCCAAAGAAAGCAACCTCGCCAAGAAACTGTGAGGTCTCACGAATGCGATACAGCCAAGTGTTCAAATCGGTCATGACAGCCTCCGAAATGGTTTTCCGCGAAGCGGGAATAGACTTCTGTATCAAATCGGCCAGCCGGTACTGGGTGGCATACTTGTTCTGAATGATGGGTACTAGGTATTCGTTCTGCAGGTCCTCCAGCGATTTAAGGGCGCCATAGTACTTCTTCTTGCGAATCAGGTCATGGGCGTTGTTGACAGCATGCATGATCTTGAGCGATTCCCTGAGCGCATCGGAGACGTCGGTGATGTTCTGGCGGACGCGGCGTGTATCGACCAATGCCTGTTTCTGCTCCGCCAACTTTTCGGTACTTGCTTGGATCGACTGGTTTAAATCGAGAATTTCGGCAGTCAGGGCCACTGTCTCCTCGCGTATCGTTTGTAGTTGGCTGACGGAACCAAGAAACTCTTCGTGTTGCGTCAAGCCGATCCGTTCGATGTCGCCCTCCCGCTCCTCTGCATACTGGGAAAGGCTCTGGACGAGCGTTGCTGTTCGGCCGCTTGCTGTCGCATCTTTGAGGACAGGAATGAGCTGATCGATAAAGTCGGAATCGGACGGTGTAAGAATAATCTAAGTCCATGTCAGTTACTGGGTCAACTCCGACATAGACGTTGAACGGGGGCCACGCCAGCCATGGATGGTGTTGCGCAATGATGTATGCTCGCAATGTATGTTGCGCCAACGATGACGGCGCTCGTACCTGGTCGACAGCGGAGTCGTAGTCGTCCCACGTTTGCACTTTTCTGGGCATCTTGACCGGGAACCCAAATGCGCCAGTCGAGTCTTACATGGGTTTCCGAAACTGACGATGTTCACACGAATTGTCGTGGAAACTTGGGAAGAAAGGGTCCTGGGCTTATTCGTAGCCTAGCCGTCGAGGTACCTTTCCACTTCCCGCTACGCCGCACTCCAGGGACGAGGAATGGGGGGAGCTCCACGGTGCAGCCCACTGTTGGTAGTGGTGGTCCAAGCGTTGAGATTCAACGCCGATGCCATTTACCCCTGGCAGGCATCTCGACGGGAAGCAGCGCTGTGTGTCAGTTCCTGCACTTCATCTCCTAGGTGTCCTAATGTACAATTCGCGGGGCGAGCAGAAGTTCTTGCTATGATTGTTATTCCGTAGTATCTTTCAGCGTCAAGAGGAAATCTAGAGTTGTAACATGACAGATTCAGAAGGGAGGGACTTCTGGATGTTATTCTAGAGTACACTACTAGTAGTGGTGTCCATACCCCTGATGAACCATGGGCGAGTGAGCCAGGCAGCTGATGACAGCTGGCCATGTTCCTCTGCCACCTCTTTTAACGACATCTGACTTCACGGTTGTCCAAGAGGTCGATTGCCAACTAGTTGAGCGTTTACGTCGTGAATATGGTTTAATATGAGCAGCCTCGACGTTCATTACAATCTCAAGACAGTACTGGCAAGAGTTCGCTCTCTTGTTCATGCCGTGGAGCTGTGCTTCTGCGATGGGTGGGTGATGCGGACCGACTCCACGCGATTTGGATTGACTATGATGGCCGCAATCGCTTCCACAGATGAATAGTGTACGCTTGTCGTTGTGGCTGACACTCGTCGATTCCCAGCTTGTCTTCTCTTTTTCTGAGCTTTGATAATAGGTGATATGGAAACCACGTCTGTATGTGCATGACGACATGACCGAGATAACTGCCTTCAACCCGTTACAGGAACATACTACTGTATGTTTGCGGCTTTACACTTTCCCATCTAAATTCGTTGGTGGAGTTGACACGCTCTAGGCGAGCAGGCACGTGGTGACAGACTCAACACTACCTTCCTGATGCTGATATTTCTTTCCTATTCTTCCAGGTCGACTTCCTCCAGTACCGGTACCGCAGGTTTCCGGTGATATGGTGGTTTTGGCTTCGGTCATGACGGACTCACGCCATGTAAATCGAGGAAGTCACCCATGCAGGGTGGCTCATGCTGCGCGGTCACGAACAAGGACGCCATCCCTTCACCCTTCAGCGATGGAAACCACATTGTCGAGATGCTTAATTTGGCCACTGGACTTCTACTCTTTGTCGGCAATATAATTCAGAAACACCTCTACGGACTGGGGATGTCGTGGGGCAGCAAGCCAACCTACAAGACCAGGTAACTTCCCGAGGAGAAATGCCTTTGAGATTACCAAATCTCATTCATAAACAAACCCTCATCATTAGCTTTTGTGCCATCCTTTGCGGTTCGGTACAAAATGTCAAATTGGCGCCATTGAACGTGTGTCGGTACCGACGGGATGAAAGAGTGAAGGTGACCAACGGTCGGTGCAGTCGGTGCAGACCCCTCCCGCCTTCCTTCTTCTGCCACTACTTCTTCCCCCCAGCAAAACTCCTCAAAATTTCTCCCTCCTTCGCACCTTCCGCTCCTGCAGTCCATCATCATCGTCAATCTCGATCACTTCCCTTCCTTGGGTGCAGACTTTTTTTTTGGAGAGTCTTCTGTCTTTCCCCTCGAGGCGGGTTTTGGATTGCCTTTCCCTTTTTACCAGCGTCTATCCTCACTCCCACTCTCGCTCTCTCGTTTTCCTGGAAAGTTTTCTTCTTTTGAGGCCTTGAAACTCGACAGGTGAGGTCCCATCTGTCGTTCATTCTTTCGCTGCGGTCCTCTTGTGGCGAAACAACACCAGCGCGTCGACAGTCTTGAAAACTACGAAGACGCCATAACTCCCATTCCTGCATCACACCATGGCGCAGGCGCGAGACATGGGATTCAACCCCTCCTCACCTCACTCGTCGAGCGGCTGTGCCGACTCGTACAAGCATGACGGAACTCCGGATACCCGATTGACTTCGTTCTCACCGGATGACAACTCGGCGGGATCCAACAAGCTTCTCAACCGGACTCTGACCCTCAGCACCGCCACCTCCCAGGATGCACATTCTCACCGTTTCCATTCGCACACCTCATCCGACGGCTACTCTGTAGCCCCAGCCAGCGGCTCCGACAAGGACCCCTTTGTTTCCACCTCGTCCATCTCCAAGCAGGACCAGAAACTGTCACCTACGGCCTCCTCATTCCTTCCTGTCTCTGTTTCTGGTCCCCTGGTTGCCCACGGATCTGTCAACGGGCCCCAGAATGGAATGCAAGGCTTACTGAACACCGTACAGCCGTCCTATGCCCAACAGGACAGCCCCAAGGCCGCAGACAAGCTCAGTACTGACCTCAATATCTCCCGTTACCTTGTCTTTTATTCGTCTCAGCCGATTAGGATCGCTGGCGTTGATGAGTATCTCCGGGTATGTGTCTTTGCCTCTTTTCCTCACACTCACATTGCCATTACAAGAAGTTATGTAACTGACATACCTTCACAGAAGCTGGAGAGACTTGGTTCGCCTGTGCAGGGCAAACACCATGCCGTCCAAGAGGGAGTCAGAGTCTTGCTTCGTCTGACAGACATCCGTGATGCTCGCAAAGTTCACGACAATGTTCAGCTAGGCAATCCGGATTGGCGTGCAACCTACATTGCGCCTGTTGACTTTTTCCACGTAGGTCTCCTATGCAAGCGCATGTCAAGTTCATGACTAACTTGTTCAAACAGTTTGCATCTCCGGGTGCTTCGGTCGACCCAGTCTCTGAAGGGCAGCTCCTGGTTCTCGCCTTTCCGGGTTCGGGTTACGCTTTTCCCTATGCTCAGTCTCAGGTGGAGGCAATCGTCTACAACTTTCTTCAGGATGAGGGGGAGTTGTTCGCTTTCCAGCGTCTGACCGATTCAACCCAAGGTCTCTTCAAGGCCATTGTGGAGTTCTCTGATGTCGACGTGGCCGTTGCCGTTGTTTCCAAGTTTAACGGTTTCACTGTCAATGTGAGCTACTACAGCCATTTCTCGGTTGATTTACGTGATACGCTGACACTCAATGCTACAGGGTATTCAGTTACTGCTGACTTTGTGCCAGCCGGACACACCAGCTCTGGGTCTCGCATCAGCGGATGCCTATAACAATCCTCCCCGACCCCAGGTGCAAGATATCACCAACATCTTCCGGAACATGAGTGTTGCCAGAACCCCCCAGTCAACCCGTCCTTTGGTTGGCGGTGGACGCGTCACTCAATCGCCTGCCAGCATTTCCGTTCCCCAGCAGCAGATTGCTATGTATCCGGTGGTTTACCAAACTCCCATCAATAGTGGTAACCGCTATGTACTCGATCAGACCCCTACTCGTGACCATAGCGTTGCACCTCTGACTCCTCTGACGCCAATCAGTGGTGGGCTCTCTGTGATGAGTTCCTCCATCTACACGCCGCCCGCGACGCCAATGGCCATGAGTTCCTCCATCTACACGCCGCCCGCGACGCCAATGGCCATGCAGAATGACTATACCAGTCCTCGGAGCATGCAGCAATTTGGACGACCGGATGGCCGTCGTCAGAACGCCATGCGGGTTTCCAGATCGCCGTATCACAACGCGGCCGGACATCATAACCATGTTGATGTTAACCGTATCCGGGAGGGTATCGACGTCAGGACTACGGTAAGTAATTCCAAGACTCGATGAAGCAAATGGAACTAACCTCACAGATCATGCTTCGTAACATTCCCAACAAGGTCGATCAGGCTATGCTCAAACGAATCATTGACGAGTCAAGCTGGGGCAAGTACGATTTTATGTACTTGCGTATCGACTTTGCCAATGACTGCAAGTGGGTTATTGCCCACCCCTTCTCATGCGAACATTTGCTGATTTGTTAGCGTCGGATATGCGTTCATCAATTTTGTCGATGTAAGTTTCCTCCATTGCCAAACCCAAACTTAGTGCATCGATAGCTGACAACCCCAAAGCCCTTGGATATCGTCGACGTAAGTGCCATACTCTGCATTGTCGGATCAGAGCTAATACATTATGCAGTTTGTCAATACCCGGGGCAATCAGCGCTGGAACTGCTTCAAGAGTGATAAGGTTGCGGAGATATCATATGCCAGTAAGTTTAGCTGCACATGTTCCAAGAAACCCATGCTGATCTTGCGAAGCCATCCAGGGAAAGGATTGCCTTGTTCAGAAGTTCCGCAACAGCTCAGTCATGCTCGAGGCGCCTCACTATCGACCCAAGGTGAGAAAAAAAACTCCTACTCTGTTGGCTATTGAATTGTCACTAACCTTCGTAGCTGTATTTCACCTCCAACGGACCCAGACCTGATTTAGCTGGACAAGAAGAGCCATTCCCTGAACCGGATAATCAGTCGAAGATGAAGCGCAGCTGTGAGAATGCTGAGCATGTCGGTAGGTTGGGAGTTGTGACTTATAGATGAACGAATGTCACTCACACATGTATCAGGTCTGTTTACTCCGAACGCGGGTCAACACTTCCGCGATGAGCAGCGTCGTCGTCGCTCACAGTACGATCGTGGCACCAGACTTGCGGCTCTGGAGGAGTACGACTACGACACTCAGACCCAACCGCAGGCCATCTATCCCGCTCAGTGACTGATTGCTGTGAGCTAAAGTTGCTGTAAGCGTGCAAGCAGCACTGAGCTTTGATTTCATCAGACAACACACAAAGACATGGCTCGAGACCATCTTTCCGCGCGATACATACATACGATATTTGACTTTCTGCAATATCCGACAGTTTATGAGAAGGTGTGAAGATTTTGGCTTGGAATGGCCGTTTTGAGATCGGTGGTCAGCTTTTTGACAGGTTTGTCAGATTTCGCAAAGCCACATGGAGAAAACCAGAAAAAGAGTAGCATCATTTTGTGCACCATGGGTTCTTGTTGGTTTGAGGGAAACGGTAAAAAGGCGGGTTCGAACGGTATATCGGCGGAACCAGATTGGACTATGCCAAAGGGGTCATTGAAGGCCACGGCGGTCTAGGAAAGATGGTTAGCCCATGCCCGGATTGCCTGTTTTGAAAGATTGTGATGGAGAGTTGGTCCCAAGGGGCGATCAGTAATGTGTATTTTAGACCACAGTATACGGGTTAGGAGCGTAATGGACGGTTGATCCCCTTGGGAGAAATTGGAGTTCACATTGTGTTCATTTGGTATCAGCACCCACTTCAGGTCACCAACAACTTGTTGTTCGTCTTTGCTCAAACGTATATTTTGCTATGGACTTGCTGGCATGCATGATCTCGCTAAACCCGACCACCAGGCATTATGTTATTATGAACTTGGAAGTTTCTGGTACAGCGGGCAATGGCTTCACGGTCTCTGAGCCAAGGTGAGTACGTGAAGGCCTGGCTCGGGGCCGTAGTGTTTGCTGCTGGTGATACTCAATGGAATCCACCGGCATCAGATTAATATTGTCTTCCTCAATCCTCTCGCTACTTTCCTCGGCGGAGTTAGAACGAACAGGCACGTTCGTAACTCCGTTGCGGTTAGGCTCGGTGCTTTCTTGATATATTTCTAATGTTCTCTCTTGCGTCAACCCGCCAGACTCAAATTCAGACGACGAAGACCGAGACGACTCCTCCTGATCTGGGACGCATTCGGACTCGGGTCCAAACGACGACTGCGTATACAACTGTGAATCATCATCGGCATCCTCTGCAGCCAGAACCTCGTCTATAGTCGTTGAGGTCTGCCGGAGTGGCGATGTGTGAACAAGTGGAGTCCCTTCCCTGCTATCATACTCGGAGGTGGGAGTGAGCGGGAGAGCTTTGTCGTTGTTGCGTGGGTAAGCATATGAGTGTTGCTGTGTCTGTAACATGTGTTGATGTTGGCGTTGCCCGAGGTTGTGATTATCATTCGGATGAAGCTGCTGCTGATTGCGTTGTTGTGCTGCCGCGATATCAACACCCGTGCTTGTTCCCACGGAATCTGCATCCTCGCCCGAGCCTGAACGTGCTTCTGCTGTTGCTACTGCCGTCACTTGCTGTTGTACCCCAGACGTTGACACTGTCGTGGAGAAAGGAAACGGACTACTCATTCCCATACTCATGCTCATGTTGCTGATCCATCCCGAACCAGGTTTCATCGATCGTCGCTGGACGGCCTGAATGGGGGAATCAAACCAACCTCCCCCTCCCCCTCCTCCGCCTCTTGAACCAGGCCTGCCTCCTGTTCCTCTATTACTGTTCAGCGCAATACCCCCGCCGCCATTAACGCCACCACCACCACCACCACCACCAGTCCTATTGAAGATAACCAATATCAAACAACTCAACAACAACACGCTCTGCAAAATCGCCATCCTCTTCTGAAACACCACCTCATCCGCCAACACGTTCAACCGTCCACTGAGCGCCACCACTTCGCGCTCCGTCTGCTCCCGCTGCGTCTCCAAAGCAATTACTGTGCTCTGCCAGATCTGGTCGTACTGCTGCCGCACGTTGCGCAATTCTGTTAATACCGTCTTGTTGAGCGTGTCCAGAAAGGTGTCGACGCGCGTGAGCTGGCGCCGCTCGAGTTTGGAGAGCACGTCTTGCAGGAAACGCGACTGTTGCTCGATGTATTGGAGGGAGAGCGAGGTGTTGGATTCTAGGTGCGTGAGGCGTTTGTGAACTGTTTTGAAGAAGGATTCTTGAATGGTAGGTAAAGGGGGGGCGGAGGAGGTCGGTGAGCCACCGTGACCGGCGCCCGAGGCGGGTTTTCGGGGTTGATTGTTTTTGTTGTTTTGGCTGCTGTTGTTAAGGGGGCTGCCGCCGGTACCGGCGTTGGCGCTGGCGTTGTTGCCGTAGTCTTTGCTGTCGCTACGGCTTGTGGTGCCGGCTGTGCTGTTGCTGCTGCCAGAGGGCTTCGCGGCGGGAGAGACTGAAGGGGCGGTCTCATTGCTGGCGGTATTAGAACGAGACAGGGGGGCCTTGTTGCTGGGAGAGCCCGTTATGGTGCCGCTTACTTGAGGCGGTACAGGAGTGTGAGAGGCAGCAGAGCTGGCGGGTTGGGCCTTGGCTATTTCCTGAGGTTTGGATGCTGTTGAAGAAGCCTTGGGCACTAAAGTCTCATGCACAGCGCTTCCAGTTGAGGCCTGCTCCTTGGCCGTATCGGAGTTTCTACCCTGTTTGTTGTCTGCTTCGGGCGAGGTGGCAGTGGATTGACCAGTCGTTCGCGAACGCAAGTCGCAAATTTCAAAAGAAAAGTCACGATAGAATACGGGTTCCCAAGGCGTGAAGCCCAGCTCCACGGCCTGGACAGGCTCGGTCTCCTGATGTGCCTCTTCTTCTAGTTCGGTGACAGTACTGGGCGCCGGCTCACTCGCAACACTCGGTTGTCCAACTTGAGGACTCGGCTGCTCAGGTTCAGGAGTCTGCGGCAACTGCTCCTGCACTGGGGGAGCTTCGATTGTCTCCTGCTCATCATCGTGCCTATCATCCGGCTCCTTCCATGTATCCAGCATCCTGGTTCCATGGACTCTGAGTAGCGATACAGGGCAGTAATACTCATTTCCGTAATGGCTGAGGAACTCGATCCGGATATACTTGGTGTAAATCTGAGGATGTTCCACCGAGAAGGCCTGAATATCCCTTGAGTTCCTCGCCTCGAACGTTCCCAGCTCAACCCACTTGTCCAGCTTGACGGGGTAGCGGTCGCTCACGCTGACCTTGAACTGGCGGATCATGCTCGAGAAGAACTCAAAGTTGGCCAGGACCACCGTGTCAACGAGAATATCGTCACTCAGCTGGACAATGACAAACTTGCTCTTGGCATGACATTCGAGGAGCATGTACGAGTCTTTGTTTTCGACGAGAATGGCTTTGGCGTTCTTGGCCCCAGGGCTTGTCTTCTTGACAATAGCACCGGCGTCGAAGGAGGAGTACGAAAAGCGCTCCTTGCATGTCTTTCCGGCATCCTTGCTACGATAATATTGCGTTTTGCCGTCCTCGTGGACGACTTGGTCGTCCGTTCTGGCTTTGTCGCTGCCGTAATCGGTCGAGGGGTCACCCGAGGGTGAAGAGGTCAGTTCCGAGACTTTTTCCGAGAGGGCGTCGAAGTTTAGGGGGTTTTCGCCGTCGTCTCCTGGCCGGTGGCTGTCGGTATCGCTGTTGGGGCCGTTCTGGTCATGCTCGCCGCCGGTTCTCTGCTGTGCCGGCTGCTTCTGCCCGCCCTTGGTGTTGGCGGGGTCGCCAGACTTGCGCAGCATCATCTCCTTCCATTCTTCAAACGACATGAAAGTGCTAGCCGCCAAGTCCTCATCCTCCTGTTCCTCCTTTGTCTGCTCCTGTGTATGTTCCGCCGAAGGCTTGGGCTGGTCTGGATGTTGCTGCTGAGTCTCCTTCGCTTGCGCCGGCGCTGCGGTTTCGTTACTGGGGACCTCAGAAGAGGTGGTGTCGGCGGCGATTGCGCTCGTAACGGCAGTTGGGGTCGTCCACGCAGTACGAAGACATTGTTGCGGTAGGGTATGGGTGATGTAGTTGACGGTTCTCGATTCACATACCGATGCTGGTTCTGGGAGTGCCGCTGCAACTGCGTGGAGACCTAGCAAGCCCAGGAAAAGAGTTGGTGGGGTGCGCATGGTTTGTACCCGTTGCTGTCTCAAGTTACAATGGCACACGATGACAGTGTTGCTGTACTCTATCCATGGCGATCTCGAACCTCCCCTTTTGGTGTGTTTAATCGTCCAAGGGAGTTCGTTGTAGGCGTGAGGTGAATGTCCAAGTGTGTTGTACGCTGGTCGCGGTCGGCGTCGCAGTTGTGGTTGCCACAAGACGAACAATGCAGTGTCAGTGCCTTATCGGGACCCAGTTCGTTGTCGCCGTAGACTCGCAGAGGAGCGCGATGATGATGATGGACACCGCTTGATGGAGGAAAGGGCTTTGTTGTCATCAAAAAGCGCCACCTTCGACTGGAAGTGGAAAACCAGCCACTTCACCAGGTTATCAGTAGCGCCCTCGCTTCGTGCCGCTTGGGTCAAAAGGGAACGGAAGCCGTCCAAACTTTGTGTTTTGTGTCAAACGGTCAAATATTGTTGATCTCGGCAAGGGTCAGAATATCAAAAACTCCAGGGGGTTGATTAGTGGCACATTATGACGCTACCTGGCCGTGTTAGACCAGGTGTCTCGCTTGGTTCAGCGATAAGCTGTGATGTCCTCACAGGGTTAGGGTTCATAGTAGAATATCCATCATCGTTTAGATCAAGGAGCCGAAAAGGGCACCTGCAGTTACCTATCTTCCTCCCACACATATTCAGACTATGAGTTATTTTCTTTCTAAAGATACCTAACTACTTACGCTTGTTACAATTGGTCCAACTGAGGCACATGCGGCCAAGTCAGCCATACCAAGTTGACAGATTCCCGTTGTGTCTACTGCGGTGCCTGCTACGGCCGCCATTGCTACTTTGCTCCAGTAGAATCAGCAATCATCTCCTCCATCCCTCCCTCCGTCTATCCCACTCTCTACTCCTCTTACGATCATTGTACTTTTCGTATTGTCCCCCTCCCCTTTCACCCCTATCCGAGTCCATATGGCGATTTTTATGAAGCGAATCTCTTAAATCCCATCGTCTCTCCCGTTCCAGCCTCGCTCTCCTCTCTAATTCCTCCTTCTCCTCCTTCTCAACCTTCTCCTTCTCCCTCCCCACCCTCTTTTCGTCTTCTTCCTTTTCCCTCCACTTCCTCTCAAACCCCTCAAAATCAACATGCACTCTCAACCCCTTCGCAACCATTGTCCCAAACACCGCCCTCAACTCCCCACTGCTCAAGGCTTTCACCAATGCGCTGCCCCCGCCCTCACCAGGCTCTCCAGGCTCTGCAGTAGAACCAGCAGGGAACGCCGCCATGTAAAGCTTCTTGCTCCACGGACAGGCGGCAACGGCTCTGTAAAACACATCCTTAAGAGCCTTTAGGGTGCTCGCCGCCTGCGCATCCGCCTTGTTTGTATCACGCTCCCGGGTCCCTGCCGTGGCAGAGGATCCGTAGGATAAAGAAAGTGCATGAAAGTACACCTGCGTCAAGAATCGAAGGTAACCGATCCATATGTCCACGTTATATCTGCATGCAGAGGGATCCGAAACGGCGGCTTCGAAAGCGGCCTTAGTGGAATGGATTGTTGCGGCGCCGACGGGCCTGAGGCCAGCGCCGGAGAGGAGCTCGTATTCGATTGCGAAACGGTACGTGGGAATTGGTGCTGGTGTGTGACTACCTTCTGAGCTGCTGGTGTCCTTGTCTCTGGTTGAGGACAAGCTTTCGCGCACAATGGAGCGGACGGGGTCGTTGATCCGGAGAGTGGATTGCTCTGCCCAGGCGAGAAGGGAGAGGAAGAGCGTGTTGTGGGGGAAGAGACGGAGGAATTCGTGAAGATATTGGCGTAGGGTGGAAGGCTTGTAAGGGCCGTGATTTGCGTGGTGGTAGAGAAGGCGAGCGCCGATTTGGAGGAGTCGTTCGTGGAGGGTTTGGTGACCTAGGGAGCTCAGCTCGGTAGTGAAAGATTGTATGTTTGCGAGAGCGGAGGTGATGTTGCCTTGGCTTGAGTACTTCGTGCTGCCGCTGCTGTTCTCGGTTCTTGAGAGGTAGTCGAGAAGAGCAAGGCTTTCGGCATATTGGAGTGCCGGTTCTGTTTGGTGAGAAGAGAGGGAGTAGTCTCGCTTGGTAGAAAAGTGAGCTCTTGCTTTTAGGAGCAGAGCTGGCGATACCGGCAAGCCCTTCTCCACGTCTAGAGTAATGTCCACAGAAGACAACAGCCGAAGCAGAGCGAGTTGCATATTTCCTGCGTTCAGGTGCATCCATACCCAGGTGTTCCATAATAGCTGGCTATCGGGGGAACTTTGGCTTGTTGCCGAGAGTAGTACCTTTTCGGCAATGCCAATGTTTCCGTTTGCAAATTCGATCATGGCATAGGCATTATATAGTCTCGTGTTGGATGAGTATCGTTTCAGCAGCCCCTTGGCGACCTTCTTAACCCCCAAAGGTTCACTAAGCCATGCCAATGCCAGATAGTATTCGGCCAGTTGTTCAATACCACAAGTAAGGACCAGATAATGGAGTGTCTCGAGTACCCAGGGAGGCCTAACATCACCATCCGCATCTATGCTGAGACTAGACCATTGGCCGAGATACTGAAACCAGTCCTGCCCGGAAAAAAGGAGTTCTTGTGAGAGAGCCATGTTTCCACCTTGTTGCCGGAATAATGGTGGCTTTCGCTCTATCTCCACCGAATTCAAAACATTGTGGCCGCCTATTTGATCCAGCAAAGATTCAAAGGCTTGTCCACGAGGCGCAATGAAGGGATCTTCCAGCGCAGAAGATTTCGCGGTATTTGGAAGTCGACAGAATGTCAAAAAGGCATCAACTAGCTGAAGCTGTACCTGCGGGAGCATTTGGGATGGGATCCACAACACCAAATCCTTGATATCCGAAAACATGACGATTCGGAATGGGTCATCATCTGTTCCTTCGTCCAGGGTACGAGCCGGCATTCGTGCCTTTGCCGCCTCTCGTCGTTCCAGCGACGCCCATGCCTCAAATGGATCCCTCGTCTGAGGAGGTCCTGATGGCTCCCTTGGTATTGCTTCTGGTGGGTCGGTCATAGCGCCCACGTCTTCAACAAAGTGACGCCAACCTTTGGCATTACCCTCACCTATTCGTGGTACTTCGCTTTCCCAGAAGTCAGAAAAGTCCTCAATGACTGATTGGAAGTCCGAAGCGTTCTTGGGCCGGCAGAAGTTCAGTTCTAGAGTTGCTTGCCATGCAGCCACAGCCAGCTCAATGTAGCCAGAGTCCCGAAGATAGCACGTTAATCTGACGAACACGTAAATCAGCTGGCTACACAGCATGACAACATTCTTTTCCGAAGATGCAGTTGCTAATGTGCGGTTGAGGAATTGCAACTTGGTCACCATGAAGGTCTTCAGTTCATCGTATGTGAAAGTTGCGACCTGCGAAAGCTCATAGTTTAGTCGTGAAACCCATAACAAGAAGCTGTCGGGGTTGGTCTTGGTGGTCTCTTCCCAGCGCTTCGCAAGCTGCTTGGGATCCCACACCTTTTCGCCCTCGCGCATCATTCCGTTCAACAAGGTCTCCTTCAGAGAGATGTCAAGTGCATGGGGAAGGGCCTCTTCATAGAGACACAACTTGAGTTCGGCCAGAGCTTTTACCTGATCCCCAATTATGACCTGGCCCCCAAGTTGATGCTCCATGAAGAGGGTGTCTTGCAACCCAATCAACTCGAGCCAAGCTTTGGTGTCCTGAGGGCTATTTTTGACCTGGCGATGGAGTTCAAGAGATCTCTTCTTAGCGGTTGACATGTCTGAAAGATGACTGCCCACCTTGTTTTCGCTCCCTGAATCGGACAATGTCTCATCACCATCCGAGTCCTCATCCTCTGACTTGGCTTTGCCATAGATGGACCTGTAATCTGGTGTCTTGTCGCCGTCCTCAGGCGCTGGTGATCTATCGGCACGTTGCCGTTTTCTGGGAGGCTCGAGAGATATGTAGTCGCCATCCTCTGCTGCTGATTCTCCATTTCCACCACCCACACCAGGCTTGATGTGCTTTGCTTTCGCTCCCTTGGCTCTGGCCCAGGCCATCAAAGTCTTGTCTCCGAAGACCGAACCGTTGCCCCTACCCTCGCCCGGGCCTCGGATGGTGAAGACTTCCTTCGAGCCTTGGAAAGAAACGGAGAGATACCCTGGGGAGCCGATGAATTTTCCAGCACCAAAGCGGCGATAAGATGGTATTTTTGAGCGCTCATTTCCGCCATAACGGAAAATCAAGGCATCCTCACTTTTGTCAAAGTAAAACAGATCGGTATTCTGGCTGGTAGATGATGGCTTGTGGAGCGGATGATGGGCTTCTTTGGTCTGTGAGGCAGGGCTGGCTGACCGTCTGCGGTGATGGCGATCTCGATCATGGTGTCGACTGTGATGTCTGTCATGCTGCCTGGCATGATGCCTGTCTCTGTCCCTCCCTCTTTCTCTCTCTCTCTTCCTCTCCCTCTCGCTATCACTGTCATCCTTGTGACGGTCCCGATCATAATCCCTCCGGCGATGTCGTCTTTCACGGTCCTCCTTCTTCTCCCGATCTCGTGATGAGCCTCGGAGTGTCGATGATCGTTGGGCTGGTGTGGCTGGTGCGAATGAGGTGAACTTGGGCACCGCGCGGCGTTTCACCTCGTTGGACGACATGGCGATTCGTAGGACTCCCGAATTTCCTCCATAAGTTCCAATCAGGTCTACTGGGTTTCGAAGGCTTCTGTCCGCAATTTTGGTCGACGCGATGCCATCAAAGGCAAAGAAGGTTAGATGATGTTGAAGACGGGACAGCTGGCAGTGGATGATTTGCAGTTGCCAGCGGTAACAGACGGGAGTGTTGGGTCTGAGGTCTACCTACAATACTGTGGGAGTGGCACAGTGAGAGGTGACAAGTGGAAGCCCGTGAACGCTATGGCCTAACGGGTGGACCCCAAGCGGACCCACCTGACTTTTACCGGCACGGAGCTTACACTACAGAGAGTCCTTGTATACAAGTATACTGCCCGCATACTACAGTGGGTGCCGGAAAAAAACGCCCAACCCGTTTTTTGACATCCACCTTCTAGGCCACCCCCAGTCTTTGGAAGTCAATTGCGACCGTATTTCTTAGTAAAAGCAGGCCAAATCTGGTAGAGAGGTACATTGAAGAGCTTAGAATCCAATAATCTAATTCTAATACTTAGTATACCACCCTTTTAACTCGATAACCGCCTATACCCTTCTTAGCATCAAATCTATCAGATAATTCACTATATCCATTTCAATATCCAACTATACCATCAAAGCTACATTCTAGAGCTGTTGGAGCACTTTGTCATTCTTAGGTATAGTTGATAATTCCGGATATTTTTTCACAATCTCCTCCTTTAGTATTAACTATAAATTTTCAATCAGGTTAAAATCGGGTAAATATAAGGGCTATATTAGTACCGTGAAATATATTTCTTTAAGCTATTCTTTTAATAATTGTAAGGTGTGAATAGGAGTATTATTTTATATAAAGATAATAGATAGATCTATTAATTTAAGAAATTCTTCCTCGAAAATATTTTTATAAATTCAGGTAGTAATACTTCCTCTCTTTGTATCGGGGTCTCTATAGTAGAATACAAGCTTATTCTTTACCCTATATCGAATTATACCCTAAAATATTAATAAATAATAGCTTTTTTTAAAGTAGGGCTAAATATAGCGAGGATCAATAACTAATAAGCCTAAATTAACCAAATTCTATTAGCTTTTTATTAAGAAATAGAGAATTGACGGAGAAGGGTTACCGGGGGTTGTATTTACTTTTTGGGTGAAAAACCTACTTCCTTTTTCTACTTGTGCCCCTTTCAATTATAAACTTATCGGTAAAAAGGACGGCTCTTCAAAATAAAATATCTTTATCTCCGTACTCAAAAGCCTAATAATATTTAGTATCGGCGTAGTTTTGGTTGAGATATAGGCGAGTAGCTACAAAGTAGTATCTAATATACTCTTTTTTAAGGTAGTTACTTAGATAGGTCCTTCTAATATAAGGATAAATCTTTTTAAGAAGCTTAGAAATAGAAATGAAAGAATTTTGAGTAATTTCTTGCAAGATAGTTCTTTTATTTCTCTTATTTAGTTTTGATGGCCGTCTTCATTTAGGTTTAGAAACGCCCTAATTTTAAGTAGAGAAGCGTTTAATAACCCCTCGGACGTACTCCAGCGTTATACCCTTATATATAGTGATAGTATTGGCCGTAAGCCCCAATGAGTACTTCCCTACAATCTGGTTCCTCCGCCGGGGAGTTAAATACTTAAATTTTGCCTTTTTTATTGGACTGGAGAGTAGAATAGCTATTTGAATAAAGATAATAAAAAAGATAGATTTTGAAAAGAGAGGAAATTTTTGGCCCAAAAGTGGGGTTGGGCGTTATTTTCCGGTACTAGCTGTAGTAGGTAGTATATTGTACAGCATCCTTTTCTACCTCGTCCCTAACAAAAAAGGTAGCACCTTTTATTGCGCTCATCGCCTATATACTGCCCAAAAAAGTGCCACTTTTTTTATTAGGGACGAGTCTACCTAAAGCTAAACCAAGGTTTCTTGCCGATTTAGGTTACAAGTTTAAACCAGCGAAACCAACACAGCGAGGCTATACTAAGGTAGATCGGCGTTATAAGTACCTCTGGGCTATGGACATCGTGGTGTATACCTCTGTATGGATATAACTTGTTAGCGTGGGAATTGGCAGATCTTTTTAGAGGTGGCAATACTTTATTTTTTAGGTGGTAAAAGAAGCTCCGGTGTATCCGGAGGTATACTGCCTAAGACTTTTGGTAGCGAAGTACTTTTATATAAAAAGAGTAATTTTTGGAAGCTATTTACTACTTAAGAAGCTAAGTTATTCTATTTTTTCTCCTAATATCTTGAAGTATTACTATTATTAACCTTCGCAATCTACCTTCTACCCCTAAAAAGAATACAACTCAATTATCTAAGGATAAAAAGCTTTAAATCTAATCTTAATACTAATTTAAACAATTAAACTACTTCGAAATTTTCTAACAAACCGGCTTTACTATTTAGTAAATTTAATTTACCTATATTAGTCCTATTACGCCCTAAAAGAGGAAGGTAAAGGTACTACTCTTTAGAATGCTTTAGAAAAATAAATTCTAAGAATAGATAAGAGTAGATAGAGTTTACAAATTTATTTTTTAGAGTAACCTTCCTTTTTTTCTACCTCTTTATTTTTCTACTAGCCCCGGAATTTTTACGAAGGTACTTTACTCCATTAGCTTCTAAAGGAAATTAAGGATAAGGAGGATTAAGAGAACTAATACTAATAAAAGAGAAAGAGTAGAATAGTACTAAGAGATACTCCGTCTTCGCCCTCGTTTAGAAGATTAGGAAAATACACTTTTTACTAATAAGACTTAGGTAATTAATAATCTAATATAGAAATAATAGGTAATATTGGATCCGGAGGATAATTTAAAAGATTTTACTTTAGTAAAGAAATAACCCTATAAATAAATATTTTGGGGATTTTTCGCTAGAGGAAAGAAGGGTCCTTATTTTATTTGGGAAAAAGAGTTTGGAGGAGTTACTACTCAAAAGTATATCTTTTTCATCCTTCTAATAATTGTAGTTTAGTTCTGAAAACAACGAATATTCAATCGGTATTTCGTTTTTAAATAAAATAACGCTCTTTCCTATTGAATAATAGTTATTTAGAGAGTAATTGAATTAATAGGGATAACTTGGTTTAGTTAGAGAAGATTTTTAATTTACTCTCCGGATTTGGCGCCGATTAAAAACGTTTAGCTTTAGATGAAGTTACTTATAGAGTTGAATAACGATATCCAATCTCTGTCACCTAAAAAATTGAGAGAAGCTATTTAGGAAGCCTAGATAGCGGTGCCGGATAAATTCCTTTTTAGGTTGGTTTATTTAATGCTAGGCTGGATACAAAAGATTATTAAGGCGAATGGAGATTCTATTAATTATTAGGAAGATATATAGATAAGAGATAGTGTATAATAAATAGTTATTTCTACTAATATATAACCTGGTTTTCTATACGGCCTTCCCGGCTTAGTTGGCGCCTTGGCTGTACTACGCTAATAAGTTATATCTATACAGAGGTGTACGTATCATTACCTCACGCTAAAAAAATAACTTATCTCGTCCACTTTTTAACTTTAAGGCTTTTAGCGCGGCTGTACCCCGTATGCTAATAGCTATTGACTACTGGCACAGTAATCTTTAGACCTATTCGTTAGGTCTATAAAATCGACCATTAAACTAGTGGGCGAGCTACTAGTTAGGGATATTAATTCGTATATAGATATTAATTCGTACCGAGCGGGGTACTTCCCTATACCGCCATTTTACTAGCAAATTAATATAGTATTGTCAAAGCTAATAATTTTTTTTAATAATATATTTATATTTTCTAGCTATATACAATATCGTAAACATAACTAGTATATTTATTAATACGTAAAATTATCGTTATTTTACATATATATAAATCTAATAATATAGATTATTTATACTAGAAATTACATTCAACCTCCTTATAATTAGAATCCCTATACTCCTCCTCCTCTTTCCCCTTATTATCGTTGTTATTATTATTATTATTATTATTATTATAATTGTAAATAGTTTTATTATTATACTCTTTATATTCCTCATCTTTTTAATTTATTTGTACCTATTGTCTAGCGTTGGAATGCTACTAGTCTAGATCTTTTTAAGTATTAATCAGTTTATTATTAATAATTTTAAGCTTATTTACTTCCTCCTTTCCTAGTATAATACCCTTATTAGTTAGCTAAATTATAATTACTTTATTTGTAACCTTCTTTCTTAACTTATTAAATACTTATAGAGTATATAGTTTGGGGAGATTACTAGGCAGTTGCTAATATAGAGGGAGAATTATATTACGTATACTCCTTTAACCCCCTAACTTCTTAACCTTATTATTAATAGCTATCTCTCGTTATAATTGGAAGTAATTCTAATACTATACTCTCTCCTTATGATATTTACTAACTAACTAGTCTCTATTAATAAATTATACTTTATATAATATTACAAACTCTTTAATCTCTTTTTTAGAGGTTTTGAAAACCTGTAACCGTAATTTCTTATTATTTATCTACGTCTTTTAAATAGAAATAAATCTACTAATTTATACTCTTAAAGTAGTCTATTCTTATTAAAGCTTTCGAGTGTAAATACGTTCGTCCTCTTTTATACTGAGAATTATACGATAGTATTCATTTATTACAGTACGTAATCGACTATCTCTAATAATAATAGTACCGCTACATCTTAATAAATAATTAGTATTATATTAATTACACAATACTTCCTCAACTACTTCCTCTTTACATTTGCGCTTAAGTTCAACCTCTCTTATAGCTATTAGATTAAGAGTATTATTAGCTTTATTTCACTTAGCTAATACGTATAAAACTATAAGTAAAATAGTACAATTACCCTTAATTATAGACGATAACTATTAATTAATATACTCGCTATACTCTTTAATAGTAGGAAGGTTGAGTATTAGAGTTATTGTACTATTCTAGTCTTTAATAGTGTAGACCTTACTTTTTAGTATAAATAGCTCTATTAGAGTAGGATTAATTACAATAGAGGGGCT